ACACTTCTCTGAAGTCTCTCAGCCCCACTCACCTCACAGAGTGTTTGTTGTGGGGGAGGAAGGGAAAGGAGAATGTTAGCCGCTTTGAGACTCCTTTGGGAAGTGATAAAGCAGGATCTCAAATCCAAACTCTTCTTCTTCAGAAGAAGAATGACCTCGCTAGTTATATACACTTGGACAATGTACAGGTCAGGTTATTGTAAACAGGCCGTGTTTAAAAGGCATTCAGAAAGTTCCAGGTGGTTCAGCAGCCTGATTATTAACAGCCTTGTGCCGTAATGAATATATTTTGCCTTTGCTGAAAGATTTGCACAGGCTTACGGTGTATTTTCAGATGCAATCTGAAGGATGGCTTTGACATGTGGGATCAATAACTTTTTGCAGCGATTGAGAGAGAGAGGTTTCAGAATGAGACAGGTTTAACAGTGGTTAAGAAAGTGAAATACCTGGGGATTAACATGACATGACATGATTCAAAGACAATTATGAAAAATGCTGGGCTGAAGTGAAAAAAGATTTAGAAATTTGGTCAAATTTGAAGCTTTCACTGCTAGGCCGTATTGCTGCGATAAAAATGAATGTATTGCCTAGAATGTTGTTTCTGTTTCAAACATTGCAAATTTTGGACAAAATGGATTGCTTCAAGAAGTGGCAGAGAGATATCTCTAGATTTGTCTGGCAGGGCAAGAAGCCTAGAATAAAATTTAAAATACTAACGGATGTAAAGGAAAGAGGTGGATTTGCCCTGCCAGACCTTAAACTTTATTATGAATCAGCAGCTTTTTGCTGGCTGAAAGAATGGCTGCTTCTTGAAAACACAGACATTTTGGATTTAGAAGGTTTTAATAATGTATTTGGATGGCATGCATATTTGTGGTATGATAAGGTCAAAGCACATAAAGCATTTAAAAATCATATTGTCAGGAAAGCATTGTTTAATGTCTGGATAAGATATAAGGACCTACTGGAAAACAAAACCCCAAGGTGGCTGTCACCGATGGAAGCGAAAGCTCAGAAAAAGCTCAGTATGGAGGCCAAATGGCCGAAATATTGGGAAATTCTGGAACAAGAGGGAGATAGACTGAAACTGCAGAGTTTTGAGAAACTAAAAAACGAAGTGCGAGACTGGCTTCATTATTATCAGATAATGGAGGCATACAATTTGGACAAGAAAATTGGCTTCCAGGTGGAAAAATCAAAATTAGAAACAGAACTGCTAGAATCCAAAACTAAGATTTTGTCAAAGATGTATAACTTGCTGTTGAAATGGAATACTCAGGATGAAACGGTGAAATCGGTTATGATTAAATGGGCACAAGATGTTGGACATAACATAATGATGGCTGACTGGGAACAGTTATGGACCACAGGTATGAAGTTTACGGCATGTAATGCCTTAAGAGAGAATATTATGAAAATGATATACAGGTGGTACATGACACCAGTCAAGCTTGCAAAAATCTATCATTTGCCCGATAATAAATGTTGGAAATGTAAAGAAACTGAAGGTACATTCTTTCACCTTTGGTGGACATGCCCAAGGATTAAGGCTTTCTGGGAGATGATCTATAATGAAATGAAAAAGGTATATAAATATACCTTCCTGAAGAAACCAGAGGCCTTTCTCCTGGGCATGGTCGGCCAATTGGTGCCAAAGAAGGACAGAACTTTCTTTATGTATGCCACAACAGCAGCAAGAATACTTATTGCAAAGTATTGGAAGACACAAGATTTACCCACTCTGGAAGAATGGCAGATGAAGGTGATGGACTATATGGAACTGGCGGAAATGACTGGCAGAATCCGAGACCAGGGAGAAGAGTCGGTGGAAGAAGATTGGAAGAAATTTAAAGACTATTTACAGAAATACTGCAAAATTAATGAATGTTAGAATGATGTCAGAATGAAGTTAAGTGGTTTTAGCAGCAATGTTATAAAGGTGTATGTAAAAATGGATTGTTAACAGGTGAAAATCCAAAGTTATAATATATTAAAGGATTAAGATAAAAACAAAGAGGGAAAGGAATTGCTGAATTAACCAATAGAACTGGAATACAAAAAAGGGAGGTGTGAGGAGGTCAGGGAAGCAAGGAAATGAAATGTAAGGCATGGAAAGATCGATGTGTTTTTTAAGTGTTTTTTATCTTTTTTCTGTATTTTGTATTTTTTTTCTTTTTCTTTTCTTTATTTCTTTCTCTTTTTCTTCTCTTTTTATTTATGTAATCTTTTCTTTGAAACTTTAATAAATATCATTTAAAAAAAACAAAACTTTTTGTAGCCCCAAAGCCACGTTTCCTCTTGGCCAATCCACCTTGGAATATACATTCAAAAAATGCACTCTTTTGAAAACAAACAAACAAATTTTTATGGGTCAATGAAATTACACATATGGCAGCATGTCATCGAAAATTAAGAAGCAAATTAAATAAGAGAAAACATATACAAAGAATAAAAAGCAAATGTATACTGAATAAAGGAACAAAAAGTTTACATATCTTTGTAATAAGGTAAAAAGGTAAAGGATCCCTAGACGGTTAAGTACCTAGTTATCTACTTGCACTGGTGTGCTTTTGAATTACTAGGTTGGCAGAAGCTGGGACAGAGCAGTGGGAGCTCACTCCGTTGTGGGGATTCGAAACGCCAACCTTCCAATTGGCAAGCCAAAGAGGCTCAGTTTACCTTATATTTGTAATAGTAACTATACCAAGCAAATAATTTGTTTTAAGAAAACAGTTTTGCAATAAAAAAATGTTAACAGTACATCTTGAAGAATAAACAAAAAATAGCATTATTAAGAGTATGTAAAGTAATCAAACATGCTTAGCCTCCAGGTTTGCATCTGCAAGAAATCCCACTCCACTTCCTTACTGAATTGACTTGGCATCAAGGCAGAACTCTTGTATTGTAAGCTGCCTTGAACCTAATGAATCTGTTTTTTGTGTAATATGAACTTCCACTATATATTCTATGAAGCTGAGATAGTCTGAGAAACCCTAGCTAGCTTTGGTCAGCTACAAAGGGCAGGAGTCAAGAGGGCATGTCACTGGGCACCCCGTCAACGTTGTTGTCAATAGAACCCTTTCTGCCTTCAGGTTTTGCAAACTGGAATCATCCTGAGGGGGGTGGGACAGAATTATTCTGCCTGACAGCTTCCAGCAAAAGCTGACATTAAATTAAATTACAATTCTGCTTTGTACAGAACTGGAGTGAGACGAGAAGCCTAACAGAGAAGCCAAAGGGACAGAACTGGGAGGAGGCCTTCTCTTGCAGTTGCCACTTTAACCTTTAAAATAAAATTTCAAAGTCTGCAATAAAAGGGGCTGAAGTTCAAGTGTGTCTAGAAGCCCAGTCTTCTTAGTTGAGTGGGTGGTGCGAGAGATCCCAGCAGTGTGGCTGTTTAGTGGAGAGACAGAAATACTTTGCACATGCTCAGAGATCCTGTTTACTATTATTTGATGCAAGAGGGATGAGAACTAAGGTTTGACCTGGACCCAAGCCTTGCCAAACCTTAACTCTGCAACTTATTCTCAGACACACAGACTGAAAATAACAACTATGAGGAAATAACTGTATGAAGAAACATCCTCCAACAGGAAAGGTTACAAAATTTGAGGATTTTAATTAAGAAAAGAAAGCAAGTAAGGGGGAGGGCGTGACAGAAGTGTACAGATTTAAACGTGGGGCGCGGAGATAGGAATAAGAAAAAGTTTTTCTTCCTTTTTCATAAAACGAAAACTCAGGGCCCTCCAATGAATGTGAATGTTGGGAAATTCAGTACTTCTTCACATAGTGCATAGTTAAAACTATGGAATTTGTTTTTAAGCAGAAGTTGCAATGGCCATCTGTCATGGATGCTTTAGTTGAGATTCCTGCATTGTAGGGAGATTCCTGCATTGTAAGGGGGTTAGACTAGATGACCCTCAAGGTCCCTTCCAACAATGCAATACTATTGTAGTTATGGCCACCAACTTGGATGGCCTTAAAAAAGTTAGACAAATTCATGGCAGCCCTGTTTAGGGAAGTTTTTAATGTTTGAATATGATTTATCGTACAGCATTTTGAATATTTTGTTGGAAGCCACACAGAGTAGCTGGGGAAACCCAGCCAGATGGGTGGGGTATAAATAATAAATTGTTGTTGTTGTTGTGGAGGATTAAACTGTCAATGGCTACTAGCCACGATGGCTATATTCTAGTTCTACTGTTGGAGGCAGTATGCCTCTGCATGCTGGGAGACTCCCAAGTCTGGAGAAAGCAAATTCCCTGCTTGTGAGCATCACACATGGGCATAGCCTGGATTTATATTGGGATGTGTGTGTCAGGTTTTATGTTATTGGGACCAGAACCTATTTTTATTAATTTACTTAATGGGGGGGGCAACTGTCCCCCTACTCCCCCCCATGGCATCCCATAGGCACCTGCTTGGCCACCACGGCAAAAGGATGCTGGCATCCACGGGCTTTTAGTCTGGTCCAGCAGGGCTCCTCCAAAACCAAAGAGGGGGAGGACGTTGCTTTGGAGCATGCGAAGAGTGCCAAGCGCCACCAAGCCGCCTGAGACGGATCTGGAGGGCTGACTGGGAGTTCGAGGGCAGCCCTCGAAGGATTCAGCGTCGAAACCAGCCCCTGGCAAGCAAAACAGGTTCTGCCTCGCAGCGAGACCGACAAGGGACAGAGAAGAGGAACGCCTTGTGCTGCGCAAAGGCGGCGGCGCCCGCCCAGCTCCAGCCAGCCGGGCGCGGCCCGAGGAGCAAGGCGAGCGCCGGGCTCGAGGGGCTGGGAAGGAGCCAGAGCCCCGCCCGGCCGGCCGCCCAGTCCCCGTCTTCTTCTTCTTCTCCCCCCCTCGGGCGAGAGCGGCTGTTTTCGCGGCAGACTGGGCAGAAGAGGAAGAGGCCGCGCGAAAGGCGGAGCCTCGGCCCGCCAGCGCCTGCATTGGCCCGAGGCGCACGTGTCTGGGATGGGTGTCTGCGCCCGGGGAGGGAGGGAGCGCTGCGCGCCAGTGCCGCGGGCGAGGGCAGGCGGGGCGCCGGAGGGAGGGAAGAGGCTGCAGGCCAGCCGGGATGCGCGATGGCAGAGGCGGCCCGGATCCCTTATAGGACCACGGGGTCCACCCTTTTGCACCCGCTGAGTGACTTCCTGGGCATCCCGCTGGACCAGGTGAGGGGAACGCGGAGAAGTTTGCAAGCAGGCAAAGGAGCAGCTCGCGATTCTTGGGGATTGTGGCACGTGGTGGAAATCCGGGTGGTTGTTTTTCATTCAAAAGAGAAATTGACCGAACAGGACTTTTTTCCCTCCCTATTGATCGCGTTTGTTGTTTTTTCTTCCCCGTCTACGGAAGGGTGATTTTCTGTGGGACAATGATAAAGAACGAAAAGCCCAGTCTTTGAGCATGTTTACTCCTGCTGAGCTTAACGGGGTTTATTTCCAAATAAGCGAGCGTAGGATTGCACCCGCAATAGCTTCGAAAGGCTCGGGTTTCAGAACTGTGGCTTTATTTGCATAGTAGCAATCGGTGTGCCTTATGGCGATAATGTATTGGGTTTCATCGAATGGGTTGGGACCCCAAAGTGAGTCACAGGTAAACCTAAGGTGAGTCATATCTATGGCACCGATTTACCTTAGCTTTTTTACACTCCCCCCCCCCCGGCAGAAATGATAAAGCAGGAAGAGTTGGGTTTGGTTGATTTGCAAAAACTCTTCCAATTTTCTGTCATTAGGTGTACCGCTTGTCAAGTGCCTCTCCCAGAAGACAGGCGCTTGAAGTCAGGAGACCTGTGAGACTTGCCTGTTCTTGTGATTTTTTTTCTTCCTAATGTGGTATTAAAGATGGGTCACCGTTGGAAAAACTTGACAGATACTAGGCTGTGTAAGAAAGCTTGATGGGGTGTGTTGTTTGACTAGCACTTAATCTCAGTCACTAGGTGCAAGTGATGCAGTGTGCGCTTGATGCTTACATGTGCAGGAAGCAGCAGCCTAAATGAACAGGAAGTAGCAACCAAAAAAAGAAAGTATTGTTGTGGAAGGTTTCCTGTGGCAACTAAATTGAAACTAAGCCCGTCTTTGAAATGAAGATGCTTTCTTCTTATGTTTACATCACGCCGCCTTCCTTCCCTGCTTCTACAACCTGCCCTTCCCTTTGTTATATGTTCAGAATGTGAGCTCCGTGCGCCAGAGATTTGTCTTGTTGCTCTGTGAAGCACCATGTGCATAGATGAGGCTGACAACCATAATATCACCTGTCCCTTGTATGGAGCCATCATCTTATGGGTTAGGAGGACATGCTGGGTGTTATGTACTGAAGTTCTCACCCTGGGCCAGCAGGGGGATACTGTAGATAGTTATGCAAATAAGGGATCGAAAGTGATGTTCAGTGATTGGATAGTCTTAGAAAATTGTTACAGTTACGTTGTACTGGAGCTCTATATAAGCAGGCTGACTGAACCCTTCAGTTCAGTTCTGTTCTGGCCTGTGAATAAACAAGAGCTGTTTGAAGAATTGCTGTGTCGTCTGATATGTTCACCCACAACTTAACACTGTCAAGGTTTAGATGCATTGCAGGGACACTTCTCATTCCTGAAAATCACCTCCTTCCCATTGTGCATGCGGATCCTTGATTAAGATGTGCTTATTAAGCAGAGTCATCCCTACTGTTAGGCAGAACGTGACTGCTGCCTCAGGACACAGGTGCTGGTGGGCGGTGAGTGGGTGACAGCAAGCAAGATGTTGGAGTACAGAGCTGTGCAAACCTGGCTGCTAGTTAGGTGTGGGAGAGGGTGCTGTCCTGTCACCAACGTTGAAGTAAGACTGAACTGCCAGTTGGGTTGCTTCTGTTAGTGGCATTTGGGGTGGTGGATCATGTCCTCAGACAGCAGGTATGCCACAATCCAACGGCACAACAGAAGTTAGGTATTGAGAATAATAATCTTTTATTGCTGCAAGTATTGAACTAAATATCTTAATAGTATTTTATATATCAAGGCTGGTTTGTTGACTTTGGGCCCCCTCATGATCAACTTGTCCCAGAATTGTTATACAAGTGTTTAGAGCGATTGGGTTTAATCTAGGCCACTAAACTTATGTTCATCCTTTACATGACAGTAATCATTTGGGGCCCTGCTGGACATCTCTTTGCCACAGCAGCAAAGTCTGGTATTAACTAAGAGGCCTTTTGCGGCACCCACCTTATTGAAATACCCTGTCACTATGCTGCTTCAGGCAGTTGGTGAAGACTTGAAGTTTTTAAAAGGCCTTTGGTTGTGTAGTTTTTGTTGGCTTAGTTCCATATTGTTTCAGTGTTGCTGGAATTTGTTAAGTTGATCCTGTTGAATGTATATATTGAAGTGTTTTTAGGTGATTCTGTTTGTTTTGTTCTGTTTTTATCACTGTTCGTTAGTCGCCTGGAGTCTCTTTGCAGAAATAGTTGGGATAGGAACTTTTGAAATGAATAAGAATAACATATTATTGTGGTAGCACAAAATCTCGTGTGCCAGATGTACTTGGGTGGCGGTGGGAGGGCAATACAACTATAACATGGGATGTGCATCTCAGTGGTGATGTATTTTCTTTCAAGGCTCGTGGGAGGCTTGCTCTTTTCCTGGCAGCAAATGTGATTGGTTTTTCCTTGTTAGATTTTTCTGAGGCAGCCATGAACTTGCTGCCCTTTCTGTATTCTCTCAGCAATGAGGAAGCTTGTGGTGGTGATACTATTTGTTCCACTAACTAGGGGGAAAATGGGCTCCACTTACAGATTGTGCTGAGAGATAAACCAGGCAGCAAAGGATTTATTGTACTAGGTTTTAAAAGCAGCACAAAAAAGGACTCTCTGGAACAAGGATGAGTTGGTTTTAGTTTTGCAGGGTCTACTGTTTGAGGTTTGCTTGCTTTTTAAAACTTAAATAGAAAAAGGGAGCTGAAAACAGAAATTATTTGTGTGTGATATTTGGTTCAATCCACTTAGTGTGGAAGAAAATAATAATGATGCAATTTTGCAATCACAGGGAAAAAACTGTGCATATATACCTGAATCTCTGTTTGTTGTTTAGTTTGCCTGTCTTAAGTGAAGGTTGAAACTATATGCATGTAGCTAAGGGAAGGGAAGATTTGGGGGTTTGAGGAATTGGGTAATAAGGTGCATGTTTGTCAGCTTCTTTCTGAAAACAATTCCTTGTAATGTTCACACGTTTACTGGTGGATTTGTTGAATAAAGGGGCGGGGCCAATAGGATTTTCATTTCATGTGGGGTGGAGAGTTTAATTTATTCACTTCTTAAACTATTTGTTATAAGGCTACTGCAGTTTGTTGTGCACTGGAATTAGAATTCGTTTACAATGGTACCTCAGGTTACATACGCTTCAGGTTACAGACTCCGCTAACCCAGAAATAGTGCTTCAGGTTAAGAACTTTGCTTCAGGATGAGAACAGAAATCGTGCTATGGCGGCAGCAGGAGGTCCCATTAGCTAAAGTGGTGCTTCAGGTTAAGAACAGTTTCAGGTTAAGAACGGACCTCCAGAACGAATTAAGTACATAACCCGAGGTACCACTGTATATTAAAAACATTTCTGGAATGTGTACTATCCACGGGTCCCAAGGCAGATTACAGAATAAAACTCTAAAATGCTAAAAACACATAAAATAAATATTAGAATCTACATAGAATCTAAGTGAAATCAACCACTAACAGTAAGAACCATATCTTAAAGGGGTCAATAACCTATGTGTGCTTAGCAGCCTTTAGAATTGCCGTACTGTGAATGACTTGCATGTATGAACCATGCAAGAAATGGGAACCATGCTTCTGTAGATAGTACCAACAAAATACATGGCAAATTTAATTTATTTCACATGAATTCTGTGAATTTGCATCTCTCTCCTTTCTTTAATCACTGAGTTCAATAAGGGCCGCTGCAGAAGAGTAAAGCGAATGTAGAATATAGGATGATGCAGACATTGAAAAAAGTTAACAGGATGGATTGATAGAAACATTCATTGGTATAACTCTCACCCTGTTGACTTTCCCCCCTGACATTCCTTTCTTCCTTCCTGGAAGCAGAGTCAAGTTTAATCACCTCCGCAGCATGACTGTTGCACAGAGATTTTTAACTGCCTCTGAAGGTCAAGTGCTTTGCCTTTGGAATGCACCACAGGGCTTGGCAACTCCACCCTGACTGTCAGGAAGGAGAGTGGCAAAGTCTAGTTCAATACTGCTGCAGGCCACCCCAATCCGAGTGGCGTGAGATTCCAGGGGCTCATCCACGATCCATGTTTCCTTTGGGAATGAGGCACACCGGAGGCTGTGGTGTCTTTATTATATATGGAGTTGTTTGTGTGTGTTTTTTTACACATATATACAACCTACGCTTATGTTGGAGGGGTTCATAGTATCAGCACTCCAAGAAGGTCTTGTTTCTTCCATAGGCACAGCTTAGGACAGGGCTCAAGAAGAGATCAAGCATCATGCTTTGCCTCTTTCTCTCTAGGACACATTGCAGCAACTCTCTCTCTAATCTCTCTAAACTCTGGCTTTATCTGTTGAGGGAGGGTGGGGTCTCATCAATTTGCCATCTCATGCAGAGTCCCTTGATCCTTTGTTCTTAATGGCCCATTCCCAGGCTATCAGCTCAATCCAGGAAGTTTAGCCTAGCTTAATTACCGTATTTTTCGCTCTATAAGACGCACCAGACCATAAGATGCACCTAGTTTTTGGAGGAGGAAAACAAGAAAAAAAATATTCTGAATCCCAGAAGCCAGAACAGCAAGAGGGATCGCTGCGCAGCAAAAGCAGCGATCCCTCTTGTTGTTCTGGCTTCTGGGATAGCTGCACAGCCTGCATTCGCTCCATAAGATGCACACACATTTCCCCCTACTTTTTAGGAGGGAAAAAGTGAGTCTTATAGAGCAAAAAATACGGTATCCTTTAACACTTGGCTTAATTAAATTATTAGGAGTGTCTAGCACACAGCCTAATACACACGTGTCTGGATTAATACATACACGGGTCTGGTACCCAGAGTTTTAACACCTGGATCCTTGATTAAATTCTAACACCTACTGGTTCCAGGAATTTAGGAGTGTCTAGCACCCACAAACTCATAACAATCCTATCAGTATTGTCATAACAGAACGCAAACATGTCTGTGCCTAAGCTTACTGAACATTTGTTTGCCAAAAGGTGCTGCCTTCTTATTTGCCCAGGAAAAAAATGAGTTTTCATTTAGTGAGAAAACAAACACATTTCTCCCCTCAGTCCTTCATCATGAAGTAGCCCAGAGCTGTTCCCATACCACATATTTTCTTACAGAAACATAATTCCATTATATGTACAAGTTTGGTGCTTAGATGCTTCAAGTTTGCTGCGTGTTTTATCAATCACCACACCAAATATTATCCTTTCATGAAAGTTTCCATTCTGACCCATACTGGCATTACACAATCAAATAAAGTCATAACCATAGAAATAATCCTCTATTCCATCATTTTCAGCATATAAATTATAGGGTTTCTGAAACAACTCCCCTTTTATCTCTAGTCTCTCATTTAAAATTATTCATTATATAAAATTATACTATGCATTTCCTCCTGTTTATTTTGGTTGCTATGTGCCAAACACCACAATGACATTGCAGTAACAGTTGTTAACGCAAACAAGATTGCCTACAAGCAAAGCAAGGGCAGGCTGCAGAAACTGCAGAAATGCTCCATTCACTTCCTATAAGTCAGGGGTGGGAACTGGATCTGGTTTGTGGGCCAAAATGAAAACATCTCCCCTGCAGGAAAACACTTTTCCTGGGGCAGTATGTTGGTTAATATTGAATAATGTGTGATACTTCAGAAACTAGAAACTTTGGGCCAAGCTGGAGTCTCCTTCAGGCATTCGGACACTGTGTAATTGTGCGACTGGGAGAGTGGGGAGCTGTGGGGATGAGCATAGCTAACTCTGTCCCTCCTTGTCATTCTCATTGCCCTGCACAAGTTAGAGGATGGTTGGGTGAAGCAAGGAGCCTCCTCTTTTAATGGAAGTTTCCTGTGCATTTTAGAATCCCGATTTTCTGGGGTTCAAGTGTCATGAGTCTCTACCTGAGCACCTCAAACTGAAATTGATTTGGAGCAAGGACTCCCAAAACTTGAGAGAGAGGAAGGAGAAGGAGCAGCCCACACATACTATTGGACAGCTTTCGCATACTCAGGAATCAAGAGTTTTGTGTCTCCCTTGTAGGAAATGTATACTTCTTTGTGCATTCTGCAATTTTCATCCTGTGGAATAGTGGCAGAACTTTGTTGCTCATAGCCGAACACTTCAGAAACTCTTGGGCGACATTCAAAGAAATGGCAGCTCAGTGTGACTTTTTTAAGAAGCAAATAAAATTGCATCTGGATCAAAGCCACTCATTCATTCAATCATTAAAAAACAAACAAACCTGAGTAGAAACGATTACGGTATCAGAGTCAACAAACATACATTGTAACACTTAATTCTTCAGATTTACTTTTAAACATTTCTCCTCTTCACACCGTTGTTGACTAAGGATTTTCCTCTTTATTTTTTTTTGTTGACTAAGGACTCTGTCATCTGTTCTGCAGTTTCTCTGCCAGGGCTGCTAATGATTATTCCTTCAGCTGTTTCATCATGGTAATCCCCCAAGAACATCTGTTTTGAATTTTTGAGTTCAGATCTCAGAAGGTTTTTTAAATTGGGAGAGAAGCAGAACTTACTGCTGGAAGCAAGACTTCAATCCACAACACAGTCAGATTTACCGTGTGAGAGCTCATGCATGAAATTAAGAAAGATGACTACAAAGTGTAATTGTTTCAAACTAATGTGTGTGCATATTTTTATGCCCTCCTTGGAAGACTGTAATTTTCCATTTTAAAATAACACTCCTGCTTTAAAAACAAACAAACACATATGTGCTGCACAAAATAACTTACAGTATTTATGTGGGTGTTGTCTTTCTTTCAGCAGACTATTATAAGCCAGATATGGATTCTAACTCCCATCAGTCCCAGGCAAGGGAAATTGTAGGCCAATAGCATTTGATGGGGGCAGTCCTGATTTGAAGCCTTTTCTGAAATATCAGTCTGCTTCATTTTATGTACACAACTTAAGAATCACAATGCCTTGATAGCAGAAGTAGCTCATCCTAGCGTATTCCTATAGTAAACATTTAGTGGGTTTAGCTTAACATGACCCACTGGTATTCTATATGTATAGAAGAAATTAAGTATACCATGACGTATCAAGTATGCCATGAAAGTATGCAGGTGTACATGCACACATTACAGGAAATTCTGCCCCTTTGGAATATGAATGTTTGTCTACAGTTTTTGGTCTCACAAGAAGCCACAATGTACTTCTGTTGATTTATTATGTAGGCATCTAGGGAACTATCCAATTTTCTCCCTTGCCATTTAAGTTCCTACAAGCAACACTCTTCCTTTTCCCAATGCACATGTATATTTCTCTGATTTCCATGACTTCTTTGTTAAATTGCAAACTTTCTTGGGAACTTGTTTGTAATTCTCTTTTGAGGCTTTCCTGTTAATAAATTTTCATCTTTGGACATTTTCTTACTCTTGAAAGGGAGCAATTCTGTGTGGTAAATTAGGTTTTTCATTAAGTGTGCCTGTGCATTTGCCTTAATGTGCTTTGTCCTAAATGTACCAGTTAAAAAACAACAACTGCAGGAGATATGGATAACTAGCCATAGCAAACTTCTTTTGCTGTTGGCTTGCTCGCTGAGCAGTTTAATGAATTATGCAAGAAAAACCTGGATTTGCCACCACTGAGTATATACTTGACAGGGAGCTGGACCTAATCAAGTGTTCCAGTACAATACACACATCTGTCACATTCATATTTTACATTTTTCGGTGTAGATATAAAAAACACCCTGGGCGTATCCCTGAAAACAATTTGCTGGATCCAGACTAATAATGAACTACCACACATACATTCAGTTACCTGGTCCTATTCACAAGTCCCTGGGAAAAGCTCCCTTGAATTAAGTGAGACTGACTTCTGACAAGACATGCCTATGATGCTTCCACTCCTTTTCCATTCTTTTCATTGAGATCTGTATTCAACTACAGTGGTACATTGGTTTGCATATGTCTTGGTTTGCATACATTTTGGATTACAAGCACGTCAAACCCGGAAGTGCGTGTCCCGGTTTGCAACCTTTTTTTTGATTGCAACCCATCTATTATTATTTTTTTTGGATTACAGACCAATTTTTTTTGGAGGCCCCATTGGCGAAAGTGCGCCTTGGGTTACAACCTGTTTTGGTTTACAAATGGACCTCCAGAACGGATTATGGTTGTAAACCAAGGTACCACTGTAATGTAGCCTAGATCTAGCTCATATTATGAAGAGGCTGTTTTCACCTGAAATAAAATGGGAAGGTCTGAAACCTCTTTCTCTGAAATATCCTACTGGGAGCTTTAGGTGTCTTTTGAATATTTTTGAGGAAGCAGCTCCAAATTACTTCCGCACCCATTCTTTAAAGTGCAGTGCTAAGTTGTGCGGGGAAAATACGCGACGACTTGTCCAGGATTGTACCCAAGAGGTCTTTCTTGGCGGTGAGGAGAATGCTGACAAACAAAAGTCAATTGCAATCTGTTTTCATGTTTCCTTAGGTCAATTTTGTTGCTTGTCAGCTCTTTGCACTCTTGGCCGCCTTTTGGTTTCGCTTGTACTTAAGTCCTAGCCATGCCAGCTCTGCTGTTCGTCACACATTTGCCACCATATTTGGAGTATATTTTGCTGTTTTCTGCTTTGGTTGGTGAGTAATTGCTGTCTAAATAACTAATAATTGCAACAAAGATGATGATGCATGGAGTCGTGGAGAGAGATGTAGGCTCTCCGTGCTTTAAGGCATGCTGTTGAGCAACTATGGGAACTCCTGAGTTTTATCAGCAAGTAGTGCTTTAGAGAGAGATGTATCCAAAAACTCAGTGATTTGGGAACAAATACCATAACTTGAAAAGGGATCTAGTTAGGCAATTGTAGAAATGCAGGGTTGGAGGAGAGTGGAGTTTGTGTTTGCTCTATCGTTCTATATTGCCTATTTACTTTATAAAAGGTTTTTGCCCTCCCCTGGCATCCATCATTGATCTTTGAATATGAAACTTGTTTTCTTGTTTTTAAGGTACTCCATCCATATTTTCATGCTAGTGATGATAAGCTACAGCATCCTGAATGTGGCCAGCATTCCCAACATTCACAGGTGAGATTTCATGGCTATTGTAAGCAACGTCTTTTAGGTTATCCTTTTTTATTATAACTGTCTCCTTTTCCCCACCTCCTTTCACTGGAGCTTTGTGTGCAGTTAGTTGATAGTGGTGTGGCAGCACCCAGATTGCACCAAAAGATTTGCTTTGCCTTTCTTCACGTTCATGAAGGCAGGACTGCTTTTTCTGGTATGACTGGGGACAAATGTATGGAAGACCAGTAATCATTAATTGGATGTACTTAGTGGGAAGGAAGTTCTAGGAAAGCGATATGCACTTGCAAGAGTTAGTTAGACAACCTTTTGATGCTACATATTAAGCTTTAAAGTCCCAAACCCCTTGATGTGGCAGAATCAACATGTTGGTTTGGGAGTCAGTTGTTTTGAGGTGGTTTTTTTATTACAGTTGTTCTTGGTAAGACTTACGTTTTGTGTATTAAATGTCTACGATTATAGGTACTCTTTTATGGTAGCTATGGGATATCTCACGTTATGCCACATTAGCCGGATATACATATTCCACTATGGTATTCTCACTACAGATTTCTCTGGGTAAGTTATTTATTTCTTTTATTTAGAGTATTTGCAGGCCCCTCTTCAACCAAAAAGGCTCCCAGATTAATAAAAGCAAAACAATCCCTGCCTGTAGACTTTACAGTCTTAAAAACACAAGGGAACAGGGATATGGAAGAAAGAGGAAATAATTTGTAATATTAAAATGTTTGTATTCAATAATACATAGAAATCACTTTGTTTGTTACCTTAATGGCCCACACTCACCATTAACTCACCAAGAAGTTGGCCTGGCTATTCCAGCAATTGCATCCTTGCTGGATCAAGGAATTAGAAGGGGACTCAGGCATACAGGTTAACTGCCCCCCCCCCAATTCACAACATGGACATTTACTGAGGTGTATAAGAGGTCCAATGTGTTTCAATGTGTGACAGTTATTCTTGTGGACAAGACAATCTTGTACTGCTTTTATTATTCTGCCATCTTGCTGTAGTAGTTCACTTGGGACATATCAAACCCCGTTTAAGTCCAAAAGATTTAAATGAACATACCTGGGCAGAGGTAGAAATAGGTTAGGCATCATATTGAAAACAATCAGTCAAGCACAGCATGATTACTTTTAATCGCAACCTGTGAATAAAGTAAAATATAGTTTTGCACATTGCTCAGTTTCATCTTCTCTGTTTTGGGTTTCTACTTGCTTCAATATTAAAACATTAACACTGTTTCTGCTTGTCGATATGTTCTACCTGTTGGTGTTTGCATTTAATTCATACTACTACTTCTCTCTGTAACTGCATGTCTTCTCTCATGCCAAGAGGATTGTGTTGGTGAGTTGCTCTCTTCTATGCATGCTCTTAATGTTTCTGAACTTCTCGCATGTTTGCTTTCAAATGATAACAACTGGTGGTGGTTCAGAGGAATAGCCAGTGGCTTCTGGTGTGATTGAGCACCCTGATCTGTTTTCAGATTCCTTGCCAGCTGGGGAGCCTTGCCTCTTTTAGGTCTTCACACATAATCAGAAACCTCCTTACTATCTGTTTCAGATACGGATTAGTGGGCAACCTTAGTGCTTTTGAATTGTTCACATGGAAACAAACACGGGAAGTCCCACCACCACAGCACATCAGTTTTGTTTTGTTTACAACTGTCTGTGTGTTTATGCATGAGGCTCTGAAGCAAGGAACCTCTGCTACTCATTGAGACTCCCCAAACAAGTGAGTGCCCTGCAAATCAGGCTTCTAAATCACAGGGGAGCCTCCCAAAGTAGTGGAGAACTTTCAGACGTTTGTGCACAAACTTGTGGTCAGCTGTAAACAGCATACAAGTGACTTGTCAGAAGGTGTGGGGTATTCTCCCTCCTGTGTGTGCTTCTATCTCATTCCTAATTGAGGATGTGGGTATTTGCACCACACAATGTGTATGAGACTGTTCAGAGCTAGCACATCTTATTTACCTATTCCAAAAAGCTCTACCCACCTCCCCAGTCTTTCAACACCATTTACAAATATGACTAAGACAATAACAAACATAAGAATGCAATGAAACACGGAAAAGATTGGAAAAAGCATTAAACAACACTACCGGTAAATCAACAAGACACTTTGTTGTGTCTCTTTGCCCACCCCACCAGGAGGTAAGCCACTCTGTTCTATACCATAGTAGGTGTGGAGAACTTCTGATCATCCGATGTAACTGAACCACCACTCCTATCATCCTTGACCATTGGCCATACTTCCTGGGGCTAATGGAAGTTGACATTCAGCAACAACTGGAGGACCAAAGGTTCCCCACACTTGACTTACACTTTCTGAACAGTCTTCAAGCCCTGTAAAGTGTTCATTTCCGTAGTCAAGACCTGATGCATGAAGACCCATTAAGGACAAATTAAGTGCATTCATATTTACTTCATTGTCCTTTAATAGTTCCTTCATGCCCCAGATTTAATTGCATTTCTGTGCATTAAGTGGCAAAGACCTCTGTGAATAATTTTGTCAACTTAAGTGCAGTACACCAAATTAGGAAATGTGTAATATTTTACAGTAAAAAAGTTAAAATAATAGTCATTGTAGTCCAGCACATGCTTGAGTAGAAGTGATCTATATAGCCTGTTAGTTGGTCTTATTTGGTATTAAAGTTCATGTGGCAATATGGCATTGTGGATAGAGTGTTGGACTTGGGCCAGGGAAACCCAAGTTCATATCCCCATTCAGATTGATAGGTCATTGGATGATCTTTCCAAACCTCTCTGTTGTGATGTGGATAACTGTTGTGATGTACATGGCTTTGAGCTCCTTTAAGCCAGAATGTGAAAATATGTAATCAAATGTTGTACCATGCAACATGTGATGCACACTGTTTTCCTGTATTTCATTATAGTCCGTTGATGATTGTAATACAGAAGATCACTACTCTTGCCTTCCAAGTGCATGATGGTAAGAAAAGATACATTTTCCAGCCCAGGGCCTGTCCACACTAGGGTTTTTCACATCACTGCAATATCTCGCTCATTCTTATCCCACACAATGGAATGACAATCTGTCATTCACCTCTCCTGTAGGTTATATCCAAGGAAGTCATTGTGTTCATGGCTGCTGGCGCAATGGAACTTGCTCTCCCTCTCATCCCCCAAATCTGCTCAGGGTTCGTTCCCCCAACTCATCCAAACAGATTTGGGGAGGTGCAGGAGGAGTAAAGGAAGTGGGAAGTTCGGTTGCACAGCGAATTCTGCAAGACAATGGATTCAGCCCTTCCCCTACAATCTCTGCTCTTTTATTTCTGTGCTTTTCCAAGCCTACTTCATTAAAACAAAAGGAGATTGTAAAGAGCTCCAGAAGGACCTCTTCAAATTGAATGCATTGGTGGGGGGGGGGGAATAGCAAATTTAATTCAGTGTAAACAAGTGTGAAATGATGCATGTTGAGGGGGGGGAGTCTTCACTTTGTATATACGCTCATGGGTTTTGAACTCACAGCAATGGACCAGGAACGAAACCTTATAATCAGAGTAGATACCATAACTTGATGAAGATGTTGACGCAGTGAAAAAAAAGGCAAATTCCATGCTAGGGATCATTAGGAAAGGAGTTGGAAAATAAATCTGCCATTATCATATGCTGTTATTCAGATCCATGGTGGGAGACCACATTTGGAGTACTGTGTATGGTTCTGGCCATCTCGCCTCAAAATGGGGAAAGGAAAGGGTTGTGCTTAAGGGAAGGTAGCGGCAATGTCACAGAACCATTGCCATGTGGACACGAAGCAACTTCTGTTTAAAGCAAATGCCGGTACAGTGATACCACAGAAACAAAGGGGCTTCCAGTGTCTTCTGCACAAAGCTCTCTAAATATACACTGGCAACCTTTTAGGAAAAGTTGAAAGTTTATGCTGAAATTGCCAAGATATTAAGTCATCTTTGTGCAGTTAGTCTGGCTGCCTTTGCTTGGAATTAAGAATAGGAAAGGAAAGCTGAAACACCCACCTACCCACCCACTACCTTTTGCTCTGCTGCTTTCTCTAAGAAGAGAATTGAGGCTTCGTAACCAGATCTGCGAAATTCCAGGTTTGTGGTCTAGTATGGAGATCCTGACGGTTGTCATGATTCTCTTGCTTGGTTCGATAACTAGGTCACATTTATGGAATCTTACCTATCTCACATTGCTTCTCAAAAAACATTTACCCATCCCCCCCACTTGGGTACCAAACTAAGCAGTAGTTTGCTCCTGTTTTTATTTAAGAGTGGGCAAGGAAGAAAAACTAAAATCATGGAAATAAGGACTTGTGCATCTTCCAGAACAACTCAGAAAGAAACATGCATTCATTGCCAAGGGTGGAAAATTGTCTGATTGGTGAGGCCCTTTGCGTATGTTGGAGGTTTCTTAACTTGGTAATAAACTGATGTAAGAAAGTAGGCCATGGAGAAGAGGCCAAGAATAAATGTGTGAAAACATACAGTATTTATTAATATACTTGCTAACACTAGCAGCGTATTTGACAATTATATGTACCATCCCCATTGTCCTCCAACATGTGATTTGATTCTTGTGTCACTTATTCTTGCTAGGAATAGGCCGGAAAGCTGAAGAACTAACTGCTGAACAAAACCTGTTTGCTATAAAGTAAGAAAGCATCTCTTTTACTGAACTGTTCCCCTCCCCACCCCAAAAAACCCACACCTGGATTGCATTGTTTCTGTGTGTTTATAAAGAATAACTTAAGTGGAAGTTTTCATTGTGTGGCTTAATATGCAGGAGTTCTTCCAGGTTAAAAAATATGTGTAGCTTTTCTGAAAAATAGCAACAACACTGATTGAGGTGGCAATAGGATGGGATGAATTTATAAATGAGCACATGCAAAACTGACATAGACCAGAAATAGACCCATCCAGCCATGCCTAGTACTGTAGAGGCTTTGTTCATGGATCTCCTGTGTCATATCTAGTTTGTGTCTTGTGTATATATTATTTTGTTGTCTTTGAGTAAAGACAGACTGATCCAGAAGTAGCTTGAACACATGCCCACTGCCCTGAAAACAAGCACATAGAAATATAGTGACTTTGTGTTCAACCCAACTTCTTCCATGCTCAGAAGTGCTTCCCATAATACTTTTAAAGGAGTAAACCATCTACACTTCCCCCACATTTTTTTTTTTTAAATCAGATTTTGAAATAATTATTGTGTGGTTGTTTTGGTAGAACAAGACCTTCATTACTGGAATATCTGAGCTATCAGCTCAACTTCCTGAGTATCATAGCTGGCCCATGCAGCAATTTCAAGGACTACATAGCCTTCATCGAAGGGAGGCATGTACAGATGAAGCTATCAGAAGTCAGCTGGAAGCAAAAAGGTCACAGTGGACTCCCTGATCCTTCTCCAGTGGTAGGCTGTAAAGTACTAAGAACTTACTTTCAAACTCTTCAGTTGTTTTTGCAGCAGTTGTTGCTGTAGTTAAATACTTTTTAATTTCATCTGTTCAGCTGCTTGATAGGATGGGACATAAATTCAAATAATATATTTTCATACTCGACTCCTTTGTGTCAGTTTGGGGCAGCTTTCAACATTTTGACAATCGTCTCCTCTGTAACTTTCCCCTGTTCCATCTTAATTGTCCAAACTCATAACTTTCACAGGCCAACAGTGGTGTCATGGGGTAACCCGGGCAGATGGGCAGGGTACAAATAATAAAATAATGACATCATCATCAAAGCGCCATTGCTTTGAACCCCTAGGAAGCCAAATCTAATGGTAATCAGATGGTGGAGGAGGCAGAAGCTATCTGACCTCACAAGACAAATGGACTTGCTTTCTCTGAGTCATACATCCTCTTTTCTAACATGCCATGATCTACTTTTCAGTAAACTCCTCCCCTCTAGTGTCTGCACAGATCCCAGCAGCCAAGAGATGCTTGAAGTCAAGCAAGTTTCCAGGGATATAGATGATTATTTCACCTGTTTGTTTGGGGGTGCACCTGTCTAAGAAAGTAATGTTATTGAAGCAATATTTGCTGCACCCGCCCTGGCACTGATTCTGCAAGAAAGAATGACTCCTAAGTGGAACACCAGCATTACCAAAATGGTGTTCAGTGAACGAAGGTGGCTGTGCTCTGCACCGTCTTCACTAGTGCATAATGGGAGCTTATGGGTTTGTGCACAATGCTCCTCACCCTCAACTGCTGCAAACTTCTTACTTGTGATTAGTCTTGGGGTTAAATATGAACCACTCCATTTTTGTGCTACCAATTCCTCTTTGCAAAATAGTAAGTGTAAGCAATGGGTGATACTTTTCATTGGCCAGTTACCTCTGAGTATTTTATAGGGGAGAAACATTTTGCCCTCTCTCACCACTGATGGCACTCATTTTCTTCTTCTTCTTCTAGGGAGCTGTGCTGCACAAACTTTCCATCACACTTGTATCTTTGCTTTTGTTCCTGACCCTTACCAAGAGCTTCCCGGCGACTTATCTTGTTGATAACCAGTTCATCAGCAAGTCTTCGTTCTGGTCCAGACTTGGCTTCCTATATGTTGCCATGCAAGCTTCAAAGCCAAAATACTACTTTGCATGGACACTCGGTAAGATTTATATACTGCTTTTTTTTAAAAAAATGTACACACACTCTTGAGGTTGAAGTGATGTTTCTTTTCAGACATTCAGATAGCATGGCTATATCTGCACATATAAACTCGTGGAACAGGTGTGGGGAATTGCTACTCTTTCTGCTAGGGTATTGGTAATAGAAGTAGTCATGGGAGGGATGCCAGGAACTGCTAGGAAAATAGTTCAGCCAGTGCAAGCTTTTCGGCGTGCCAGACAATCCCCCCTCTCCCTCCTCCGCGTGCTCTTCTGTGGGTTCTCCCAACCCCACTCCCAAGTCAAGTAGGGGCATGTGGGGGGAGGAAAGAGGAAGAAAGCCCCATTGCACGAGTAGGAGCCCCTGCACTGACTTCTGCTAGTGGGGCTCATTTGTTGAATCTCACCCCTTGTTTCTATTTTTTTATCTTTTTATACATTTTCCTTCGTAAACAACAGCAAACAACAACAAATACTAACCTAAATTACACAACATAATCTAGCCTAAATTTCCATTACAATCTTTGTTTCTAAACCTGCCCTATATCTCAGGGCTGGCTACAACCCATACATTGACAATACCATATGCAACCATAAAATCACAAATATCTGAAGGGAGTGTGCTGGGCCCGGGGGTTAACCCGAGCAACACGGTCCAGGTCCGGTCCCGAAACCAAGGATTCCACGAGGAGTCAGTCCAACAGGGCCAAGGCAGGAAACCAGGCTAGGTCAGGCACAGGGTAATTGACAGGTTCCAGCAAGCAGCAATGTTCTCCCACAATCTGTGGCGGGGTCCGGCAGCCTTTTATCTCTGACAGGGTAACAGCCGGTCCTGATCCCCCAGTGACTCACCTCCCTGTCTCACCCAAAGGCGAGCACTCCTCTTGCGAGTACTCAGGTCTCTCCTTCTCTCAGACCTTAGTCTCTGCAGCTCGGGAGATGTTGTGGGTTACTAGACCCAGAGGCCACCTCAGCCTCTCCTGACCCAACTAGTAGCAGCTGCACGTGATTGCCCAGCAGAGGGTTACGAGGTAATCCCCGCATCTGGAGCCAGGGCAGCCTCAGGCCCCTGACTCGGCTCAGTTGGTGCTTGTTGCAGGGGAATCTGTGCAGACTGGGACTCTTCAGAATCAGGCCCCAGACTTGGTTCAGATGTCGCCTGAGGCAGAGGATCCGGTGTGGACCGAGACTCCTCCAGTTCTGAGTCCGAGTCCCAGGCCATCACAGGGAGGGCATTACATAGAAGCATAGAACTGTAGAGTTGTAAGTGACCCTGAGGGTCATCTAGTTCAACCCCCCCTGGCAATGCAATTTGAAACCATCCTGGACACTGCTTAGCTTTGCAAATGTGCTAGCAGTTTCATTGCTGCAGCACTACATAGCTAGACGTTTCAGGGAAAAAGTCACTTTTTCATGTCACTACAATATGTACAAGTTCCCACAAGTGGGACATGGAGCAGAACTGCCCCCCCCCGACAGATTTCATGATCAAAAATTGTGATTAGAGAGACACAAATGTTGACCAGTCTGAGCAAAATGTAAATGATATAAGGCATGGAAAAGTCCCAATATATGGGACATATCTCAAGAATTATTGTTCTTTAGGCATGCTTACATTCTTTAGACTGTCCCTTCCTTTTTCAGTTCACTAGAATGTCATATATCACTATTCCAGGTAAGGATGGTGGGAGACTTAGGTTAAATTCACATTTAAAAGCAAACTTGCTGAATTTGCACTTTCTGGGACAACTCATGAACCAAAACACAGCCACCCTTTGAAATCATCACTTCTCTGAATTCTGCAGTACTGTTCTCCCTTCAAGTAGTGTGTATCAAAAAACGCATGCGCTAGAATAAAGTGTGCATAAAAAGGCCTATCATAGTGAAAATAGCATACAAAAATGCATTACTTTAGGAAACATTGATTTGCAAAAATGTATGCATTAGGAGAAATGTGCAGTAAAATACTGTTGAATTTTCATAAGGACTTTTTTCAATTAAATTTGCAAGTTGATGGGATAATGTGGAGAACCAATTTAAAGACCAGGAAAAGGGGTAACTGAGAGAGACTGAAATTGACAAATTGACACCCATCCCTAATTCCAAGTGTGTATTGGAAAGGATCAGCAATCCCTCAGCCCCCCCACTTTCTAAAGCCAGGCACACCTGCCGCTTCCCACCCACAATTCCACCTGTGTAGTCCATGCCAGAGCTGTCCCACAGGCAGGGTGCAGTGCATCACAGAAAGGTTTGTGCAGAGAAGAGAAGACATCGGAGAATAACTGCTTAAATTGGAAATAAAAATGTAGAATTGGGTGTCCGGAACAACCAGGGTTGTAAACAACATTTTGCTTTGCATTGTGGTTTTTTGGGGACAGCAGCGGCCTCTTCTGCATGGCAGTGGGCGAGACTTCTTGTTGTTCTTCGTCCTGGACACCAGAATATCATTTGGGCAGCAGTGGCCTTTCCTCGCTTTCTCAACAAATTTTATCTAGTGACACAGAATAGCCTGTTGATCAAATATAGCTGCTGCTAAGCAGTTCTTGCTTGTGAAGTAGGACAGACATGCTTTTGTGCGAGAGTCAATTACTGAATTCTCTGCTCATGAAAGGGGGGGCGGGAGAGATAAGTTCATTTTTGTCCTAATGTTAACTGCTGAACTTTAGTTGGAATCGAAACTAAGAAGCCAGTCTTCAAAAGTGCTCTGCTAACGCAAGCTCCAGTGAAGAGGCTTTAATCAGTGGGCGATCAGAGCTTTGAAGTTGCTTCTTCAGAGGCAGAGATGCTGTAGCAGAAGTCGATAATCTTCTTTTTCTTGGCAATCACTTGTAGCCGAGTAAGATTGTCTTCCGTAAACATGGTTTGAACAGTGAGAGAAGGTCACTTGCTGCATCATCACCTTGTTGTGGTGAGTAGGCTTGCATGTTCCTATGACCCTTGTGAGCGAAGCTGCCGGGAGTCTCATACTCCCAGGAGGGTCACCCAAGGCAGTACGGTCAAAGGGGAGGAGCTAGACAAAGAATGATCCAAGAAGTCCTCAACGGCAGAACAGGCGGATGATAACAAGCAGTATGTTACAACAGCTGTGAAGGCGGATGAAGGCTGCAGCAGATAAGAATCTACCGGTCGTCGTGATATTCATGCCATCAGAATACATCGGTGCCTCAGGTTAAGTACTTAATTCATTCTGGAGGTCCGTTCTTAACCTGAAACTGTTCTTAACCTGAAGCACCACTTTAGCTAATGGGGCCTCCTGCTGCCGCCACGCCGCCAGAGCACGATTTCTGTTCTCATCCTGAAGCAAAGTTCTTAACCCAAGGTACTATTTCTGGGTTAGCGGAGTCTGTAACCTGAAGCGTCTGTAACCTGAAGCGTATGTAACCCGAGGTACCACTGTAGAGCCTTACTGTTAAGACTTTGCATTGATCAGCGTGCACTGATCTACACACATAAAACAAATTCATGCCTAGGCGTCTTCCAAAAAAAGAAGTCTGTAATATTGGGTTCCTGACTGTAGTGCCAAATTCATGGAGGGTAAGGCTGTCGATGGCTACTATCTATGATGGCTATGCTCTGCCTCCACAGTTGAAGAAGTAATGCTTCTGAACACCAGCTGCTGGAAGCCACAGAGTGGGGTGTGGGGAGCAGGTCCTGCTTGCAGTTTTCCCACAGGCATCTGGTTGGCCAATATGCAGACAGGACGCTGCACAAGATTGGCCATTGTCCTGATCCAGGCGGCTCTTCATATGTTCTTGCATTACATTCTTAATTTCTAAATAAAGTGGGGTGAGTTTCTAAATAAAATGTCACTGGTCCAGACTAAGTAACTTGAACTTTTGTTTGTAATCAAAGCCACTCAACTTCATAATTGTTAACTTTTCGCATTGATTTCAGTGGGACCCAAGTTCCAACTTATTTATTCTGGATTCAACCCATTATGTTCTTCTTACACAGGTAGTCATTTTGTTAACTGACATTTTATGCAGTACTCTTATGAAATTGCGGCTTCTGCTCCAGTGAACACTGCTTCTGCTCTCAGTTGGTAGAGCATGAGACTCTGAATCTCAGGGCCATGGGTTCAAGCCCCACACCGAGCAAAAGATTCATGCATTGCAGGGGGTTGAGAGCCAGTGTGCTGTAGTGGTTAAGAGCGGTAGGCTTGTAATCTGGTGAACCGGGTTCGCGTCTCCGCTCCTCCACATGCAGCTGCTGGGTGACCTTGGGCCAGTCACACTTCTTTGAAGTCTCTCAGCCCCACTCACCTCACAGAGTGCTTGTTGTGGGGGAGGAAGGGAAAGGAGAATGTTAGCCGCTTGGAGACTCCTTTGGTAGTGATAAAGCGGGATATCAAATTCAAACTCTTCTTCTTCTTCTTCTAGATGACCTTCATGGTCCTTTCCTACAGTTCTGTGGTTCTGCAACTAGTTCCAAATACCCAAAGGGGCTTTGAAGCTCCTGTTGTTTTTAAAAATAAATCTTAGTCTGTGGCATGGAGAGCTCAAGCAGCAGCTCTCCATGCCACAAAGGAAGGCTCTTTTAAACCAGGAGGAATTTCATATGGCATTGTAGTCTCTTTGTGGTGTGTGTGTGTGTGTGTGTGTGTGTGTGTTGGAATTAAAGGTCCCACTGGGCACGCCAAAGTCCTTGAGCATGCATAAAGCAGGTCTTTGGATTCCAGCCTAAGACTCTTGTTTTTTGCAATTATAGCAGATGCAGTCAACAATGCAGCTGGCTATGGGTTCAGTGGTGTTGACAAGACAGGCAATTTCCACTGGGACCTTCTGTCTAATTTGAATATCAAGAACATTGAGGTAAGTTTATAAGAAAACATCATGAGAAAGGAATGGCATGAGTCTGATAAGATAATTACACCCAGTGAAAAATTATTATTGCTATACAGATATGCATGCAAACAAAAGTTATTTTGTATTTTAGATTATCGGAAACATTTTTTGGTGTGTGTATTACATTTTAAAAATGTAAAACCACAAAAAAGCGGTGGCTGCTGCTGCTTTTAAATAGAAACTCATGACCATGTCTCACCCTTGGCTTGTTAACTTGAAGAATTTGAACTCAAATATCTGACATTTTCAGCAAGGGCTTCTTGTTATGCACAGTTCTGTTGTAAAAAGCAGTAATCTTACCCTTCACATAAAAAATTATACTGATAGATTCTCTACAAGGGATTATTATTTTAATTGAAATATGGATTGTGAGAATCCAAACAGTTTAAGGATGGATTCTGATCATAACTTAGTAGTAAAGCCCACTGAATTTAATTTGACTTATATGTGAATAGGCATGGCTAGAATTGTGCTGTAAAACAAACATTAGCCTCTGGATTTACCATCTAGGGTTTTGCTGGTGTAAAAAGGTTATGCCTCTTATCTTTTAAAATAAATTGCAAACCTCATCTCTGTGTACTACTTAAGATAAATTACAGACTTTGAAGTTCTAGGGTGGTGAAAGAAGCACAGGCAAAGCATTTGATTCCAATGGGTGAGGATGAGTTGGACTGACATTTTTAACGTGAACGCAGACCAGTAATGTGCGGGGCTTTCCTCTCTCCTAGTTGGCAACGAGTTTTAAAATGTATGTAGAAAACTGGAATATCCAAACCACTGCCTGGCTCAAACGGTAAGAGCAATATACTCGAGGTGCTTTTACACTGCTTTGATAATCCACCTCATCTGTCCATACATTCATCAGGGCTTTTAACATTTGTCACTGAAGCCTATGTCTACACTAAGGGCTCGTCCCTCTAGCATAGGGCCGAGCGGTTTTCCCCTTGCCCCATTCCTTTCCTATGGAAAAATTCACTCTTTAGCTCTAAATCGGTGCAAATGTCGACCTGGGAGAAACCTGAATTGCTGTTTGCTCCAATTAAGCGTTAAAGAAAGAGCAGTCTCCCCCGGGGGAAAGCAGCGGGACAAGAGCAACTGTAAATAAGCCCTAAATCTTTCAGTCAGCTGTGGGAGACATCCAATGACCCTCATCTACATGTGCAATGGACTTCCAGCTTCACTTTCTCCCTGCTCTACACCCTCATAATCTGCTCTAGGGGGTCCCCCAAGCTTCAGAGCAGAAGAAAGGGAGCAGAAGGGGCAAGAAAAAGAGACAATGCTGTTCCACTAGGTGGACCTTCCCTTGTATGTTTTTCTAGGACTCCAATAATGTTAGGTAAGACGTGTGTTCTTCACTGGGTATTCCTAGGTCAGGTAGGAAGCTACAACCATCAGGTCCTTCCTGCTAGCGCCACCCTGCATGTGAAATGGCTTCTTCAAGGAGTCCTAGCAGGCCTGCTCACTTGCCATTATTGGAAACTGGTTAATATTTCCTTGTGTGGTCAGGCATTTGATTTTGCTGCTATCTCAACTGGTTGCTGGTGTGGCGGCTTAAAATTTTAATTTTCATGTTGTGATTTTATATTTAAGATACCTTGGGGTGCCTTTTCAGATCTGGTAGGCAAGATATAAAATTAAAATTAATGCTTGGGCTGCTGTCACCACTGCTTACTGTGTGCCTGAGTTAAATAGGTTGAATTTTTACATCAATTCCTCCCCCCCCCCCAACAAAGCCTTTATTTTCCCCCTCTCTCATTGCGCAAGAGAGTGTCAGAGTGATTTTGTTAATTTGGAAAGTGATTAATTCTGTTTCCACATGCCTACAGACACACAGCAAAATTCCTTCTCATGGAAAATAGTTCTGTTCAGTAATGTATATACAGTATTGGTTTGCCATGCATAAAACCTGTTTGGATTTCTACAAGTCACACTCATGACTTACATTTAAAAACATAATCAGAAAGAAAGAGAGAGAGTGTGTGTTTCTGCTACAAAAAATTAAAAATCTAGAAACTTGTCACAAATGCTTCTTTTGAATTTCTTCTTTTTCAAAGCACTCCATTGAGCTAAAGCAAGGAAAGTGGGCCAAACTATAAGGAATTCAAATGGGAGTTTTGTGTCTGGAAAGTATATGTTCTGGGTGCCTATGGACTGACGCTTTTAAAATGTAAGATGCCCTTTAAGATGTCTCTAGATATGAAAATCTGGGTTAGAGAAATGACAGCATTATAAAATCTGAAGATTTACTGCCATGAAAACAGGTTACGCTAGCTGAATCTTGTCTTGTCCTTATTCAGAAGCGACTCGCCCATTGGGGTGGAGCTGCAAGAAGATACTTCCCAGCAGTGGGGCTCCTGCTGCTAGTTACTAGGAGGGGCAAGGTGGCAGGGAGGTCTGCCAGGCAGAAGTGTTGCATTGCCCCTGCCAGCGCCCCCACACCAAGCTGACCTCTCTGCCTCCTCACCTCTGGCCGCTCCCAATAAGCAGCAGCAACCCCTCTGCCAGGAAACCAAGGTTGCTGCTTCGCCATTCTGGGGAAGCCAGTTTTGTCCTCTCATAGAAGTATGCTTTTGAAATGCCTCCCTTCTGCCGTAGTTATGAAGTCAGCTTCGAAAGCCTTTGAGATGCAATCCATGCATTGTCTGCACATGCTATTATTTTGGTTTTGCTTTTCTTCCCAGCGTCTGCTATGATAGAGCTCCTCAGTACCCTACAGCTTTAACGTTTCTTCTGTCAGCTGTTTGGCATGGCGTTTACCCCGGATATTATTTTACATTTGTCACTGGGATCTTTATGACACTAGCAGCCAGAGCAGTATGTATCTCCTTTCCATTTTATTTTTAAAAAATGGGTGCAATCTGAAACGTAACTATTCACACTCACTTCTCTTCAGGTCATTGGAACATGGTTGTGGGCATGAGTCCTATTGGTTTTCAGAGTTTTTTTCTTGAATATACCAACCTGCCTCTGTCTGAAACCCAACATTTTCTGTGCTATCTCACACTGACCTATTTATGGGCCACGCTTGCTATCCCTGCCCCCATTGTCAACCTCCCACTACTCTCCATGTGTTGGGTGGGGTGGAGATTTCAAGCAGGGAGCCCGCTGCATTCATGTAGGCTTATTGTGCCTGATTATAAATATGTATACAGAGACTCCCTGCTTCAGACCCCACGCCTACACATAGTACATGGCAGGACCAGTTGGGGTGCAAAGGCTTGATTGTACAGTCATACCTTGGGATGAATACGCTTCAGGTTAAGCGTTTCTGGGTTGCGCTCTGCGGCGACCTGGAAGTAACGGAACACGTTACTTCCAGGTTTCACCGCTCGCGCATGCGCATATGGTCAAAATGACCTCACTCGTATGCGTGGAAGCGCCGAAACGCGACACGCGCAGATGTGCAGTCACGTGTTATGTTCGCTTCAGGATGCGAATGGGGCTCTGGAACGGATCCAGTTCGCATCCAGAGGTACCACTGTAATTGCTTGATGGGAAGATGTCCAAAAGGAAAAAGAAATTCACTTCCTGGAAATCATATATCATCACCATGTTCCTACCAAAAGAAAATTGACAACAGTGTTTGCTAAAGAATCAGAAACTAGAGAAGGATTTGACTGCAGTTCCTGGTAGTTGTGGTAGCTTAGATGGTTCCCCTCTCTTTGTCGTCACTCCTGTGACTGCTCCCGGACATTTATGTAAGCTTGGTATTCTGCTTTGACTGTACAATTTGGGGTGGTGGGTGTGCATTCGTTTGTATGCTAATTATTGCATTGGCTTTGGCCTTTCGAGATATCTTTTACTGAATCTTTGTACTTCACAATGCAATCCTATGCATGCCTGCTAGGAAATATGTGTGTATAGGACTGCAGCCCAAGCCACTTCTTCCAGGTCTGTTCAGCTGCTGTTCTTCTCAATTTCTTGCTGAGACACTTCTTTCTTATTTAATAAGAGGAAAGAAGAAACCAAACACTCCTTATTGGTATACCAGACCACATCATGATTAAGTGGATAGGACAGCAGCCATTATGTGAAGATTGCTTTTAAACTTTTTTTTGCCTTTTTAAAGGTCAGGAACAATTTCCGGCATTTCTTCGTCTCCCCAAAGCCTCTCAAAACGGGCTATGACATTGTGACCTGGTTGGTAACTCAGCTCTCTGTCTGTTATACCGTTGCACCATTTGTTCTGCTAGCTGTTGAGCCTACAATTAAATTATACAAGTAAGTCACCACCTATTATTATAGCTGTTGGGGTTGCATCAGGCCATAGCCTTTTCAGATTTGCCAGCCTGAGGTCCACGTTGGGTGATGTTTCATCATGGTTTGAAGGAAAACTAAACAGGTTATATTTGCTAGCTGTGTCACCTTTGGAAGCTCAGTTAATATTTGAAATGTGTACTTGGGCCTTTGAAAGGAATAAGAAGGGGCAATGCATCTGTTTCATTCCAAGTTGGAAAGTGCACTCAGCAATTTTATTTTTATATCTGTTCCTTCCCTTAAAATTCATAGTGTATGGCGATGGCAGGTTGTTGTGTAGATGGAAGAAGGGTGCAGAACAACACTGAGGGAAGTTCCATGTGAATGTTTGTTAGTAGGATGTGGTGAAAATTTAAAACTGAACTCTTGATGGAGTGTAGACTTATTAAATCTCCAACTCAGGGCCCAAACATACAAGGTTAGGTTTGGCAGATAAACCAGGGCACTTTCTAGAAATCCTGAGTTATTGCTTTGAGAGGCATAATGGTCTGCTCCCCTTTTCAAAATATTTTGCTTTAGTAGTCCAGGAAGAGCTACAACCCAATATGTTGCATCACTACTCATCATTATAGGTTGTTTTAACCTGACTTCCACTTGCTTTATATTCCTTGCTACTTCTTTCTTTGTCCCTTACAGGTCACTGTACTTTCATATGCACATTTTATGTGTACTTGTGTTGCTGGTCCTTCCAATCAGATCTCAAAAACACCTGAAAAGGCAGCAGCTTCCCATTCAAGGCACGCACAACTCTGACATAAACGAGAAAGCAAAATGATACCTCAAAAGGGAATTGTCGCTCCTCTTCTGTGAGACGCTGGAAAAATGGGTACGAGCAATACATCATTGCAGTAGCTTAATTTAAGAAACTTTTTAAATGGACAGAAAGGAAACGGACTGATTACCAGTTAAGACTTGTTACTGGGTAATGTTTACATCCTTGATGGGAGAAGATAATATATATTTTTTGTAAACTAAAGAGAATAATGGAGTGTCTTTAATGTATTTAAATTCTTGCACACGTCTATCATCTCTTAAAGTTAATCTCAATTATCCAGTGCTTTTGAGAGGTAGGGGAAAGATAATCATTGGGGGTTAGCTGTCATGGACTGGCTAGATGCAGAAGAGTGGTGGGGGGCACTAGCTGGGGAACACCCAAGGGAACCCCCAGGGGAAGAAGGCTCAGAGTGAAGGGACTGGTGGTGGGATGACAAGCGAGTGGTCAGAGGGAGAAGAGGGAGCAGACTGGGGGGAGGAGGTGTCAGAAGCTGAAGAGGCAACAGAGTTTAGTGAGCAGGGAGAGGCCGTGGCAGAGACAAGTCCTGAGTCAGAGGCAGGAAAGGAGGCTCAAGGGGGGGGGGGAGAGAGGCAGTGATCAGACAGGCTGCTGAAGAAGCCAGGGAGTCTCACCCCCCCCTCCAGTCTCCCAGAACACAAAGAGGAATGAAGAGGGCAGAGCAAAGAGAGACAAGATGAAGGAGTCTCAGGTTGCATGGGAAGGTCCCAGGGGAGGAGGATACTTAGGCAAATGTGGGAAGACCTGCACTCCCCACAACTGCCTCATCAAGGCAAGATCTACTGGGAAGAGTTGCCGTGCTGACTCAGTCTGAGCTGCTTTTTATTTCTTTGTATAAAGCGTTAACTTCACTGACATCTTGTGAGTTATGGCTGACCTGACCCCGACACCCACCTTGACATTAGCAGATGGGTTCCCTAAGCATCAAAATGTTTTTCTTCCCCCACCCCACATAAAACGATGAAAGGTGAAAAGTAACTTGTAGTGTGTACTTGTAATTACCAAATGGTGGGTTGCAAGGAATTTCATGGGTGGGTTTCCTGAATGCACCAAAAGCTGAAAAGAATTTGTGATTCATGGTCAACAGGTGTGGGGACCAGTAGGCCCACATAGACAGTACATCAAAGCAAAAAGGAAATTTACATGGGTGGGGTTAAGAACCATTAACCTAGAACAAATGAAGCGCATGCTGAGTGACTGGGACTAGGCATTAGGAAAGGGAAGATCATGGAGCAGGCTGGCTGTGGTTGCCCATAAAATAAATAAACTCAGGTATAGACTGAGGTGAGAAATGTGGGCTAGACAGAGTTTGAAAGAGAATTACAGGCTTTTCCACTTCCTGTTAGACCTGTTTTCTGTGCTGAGCTTGGGTGATTTCTCCCCACCACCACCACTGCCACTGAACTCCATAATCTTTTCCTGATACTACAGACCTTTCAAATGTTGCCTGCATTCATTATTTCATGATAGCCGAACAAAGATAAATTACTTTGGCACTTGGAAAATAACTCAGGGAACTTGGTGCGAAGCACTTGACTTAACCTTTTCGGAATATGCTTCCTAATATTCAAAACGATGCTTTTAGGTTTTTAAAATGAAAATGGTTCTTTCCATTTTTAAATAATATGTTTTCTTTATGAAGGGAACGGGATAAATTTAAACTTAATAGAACTGATGCAGACCTCTCGCCCTGTAAGTTTGCTTGCTTGTCACCTTCCTGCTCTTAGCTCATAAGTGCTTCCCTCTGTCTGCCCACCTTGTCACCTATAACCTATCCCAATTCAGAAAGCCTACTGAGCCTCAAGGATGGAGTGCCCTGGTAGTGAAAGACATGGGTGTTGCACCTGTCTACTACTTAGGCGCAATGATAATCTTTTTGCCCAAGTGGGTTCCACATTCCATCCACACTTCCGTTCTTTTAAAGTCCTGTTTGGCTAGATGCTTCAGAGCTGAATTTGCTTTGATCGTTTTTTTGTTTTGTTTTACAGTGAGAAAGGTATTAAAATTCTGTATAAAGTTGAGGGATGAAAAAAACCAGTTTCTGGTTGGAAAGGCAAGGGGAAGCTCTGATCTTAATGAGCTGGACTTTTCCAAATCAAATGATCAATGTGAGAGTAGCATTGAATCACCTTTTAAAAGGTGCAAGTGAAGCAGAATGCTTTGGGAACCAATGTTGCTGCTGTCTGTTATCACTTAACTGCTGTTTGCTCATATTATGTATTTCTTTGGGACATTTTCACCCTGTTCTGCAATCCAGGGATTCTAAGCGCAAATCTTTGTAAAGCTTTTTAAAATAAATAATTTTTTTTAAAAAACCAAAGAGCATTTTTTGAATAATTATTTGAGTATTTATACCCCATCCTTCCATTATAAGAACACTCAAGGTGGATCACAATATATGAAAAATAATCGAAAAGGATTGTTTGGGTCAAGCTTTTATTTTTATGTATGATTCCTATGTATAATTTATGTTCATGTGTTTTTTTGTCTGGCTACAACCTCTATTTGACTGCCTTATCGACAAATTTTATTTACTCAAGCTAAATTTCCTCAAGAGTAGTCTCACTGAAATCAGTGGACCAAACTTAGCCATGCTTATTAATTTCAGTGAATCTACTCTCAGCAAAACTTAGTTGACTCCCCCCCCCCCCCCCCATGGCCTGGTCTATGCTTCCTTTCTGCTGCAGCTGCAGTCTGCCTTTGAACTCGCCACTTCCATTTAGGTCTCCTGGCTATTTGCTGTTGATAGACAGCGAATTTATTTGATTTGTCAGATCCTTATAAAAAGGGATCTATCTAAATGCCACAAGTTTAAAAAGCTTCCCTTTCAAAAATGTGACTTCTCACATATTGGGAAAAAGCGCTGGCTTAAAAATGGCATATGGTACTGGTGACATCTAGTGGCCACTGCTGTACACTTGTCCAATCTATGTTTAGTTTTTGAGCTGATTTTAATTGTGTGAGAGGGCAGGGACATAGCTCTCAAGTGTCCCTTATTTGAAGGGACAGTCCCTTATTCCAGCGGCATGTCCCGCTGCTGTCCCTTATTGATGGATGTCCCTTAAATGATGTCCCTTAAATTTCAAAGGAAGCAGCTCCTCTCCCTCCCTCCCTGCCGGCCAGGGAGGAGGGAGGCTCCAACTGTGTTGCTTGGCTGTGTTGCTCACCCAATAAGAAGTCTAAGAACGACTGGGGGGTGGAGCTTGCATGCCTTGTGTGTAGCTAGTTAATGCAAGCTGAGGGGTTTTTGGAATGCTGGATGCCATTTTGTTGCACATGCTGCTGCAAACTTTGCAGTGCAAAGCCAGGCCGGGGAGCCATCTTAAGTTGAGGCTGCATAGGCCTTGTGGTGCATGTGATTCAGATTCTATTCAGTTGAACCTCTGGTTACAAAGTTGGTTGGACAGTGTTCTCGAAGCTACCCAGCATGAGTTTGACCAGACTGCAGGAGGACAGGAAGACTGGAGTGCCTGGAACTGCTGAGGCTGCAGGTCCCTTATTTTGGCTGCTGGTCCCTTATTTTCAAATCTGTAAGTTGACAGCTATGGGCAAGGAACTGGCAGCCTTCCAGATGTTTAGATTCATAGAATTGTAGAGTTGGAAGGGATCATGAGGGTCATCTAGTCCAACCCCCTGCAATGCAGGAACCTTTCATCAAACGCAGGGCTTGAACTCATCACCCGAGATTAAGAGTCTCATGCTCTACTAACTGAGCTTCTATTGGGCCTGGTCTCCCATCATCCTTGGCCCACAGATTTCCCTGCCATGGATAAAGGAAATGATTCTGTTTTTGTATGGTTGGGAAGCAACTGCAGCGAGAAGGGTGTGGAAAAGCAGTAAAGGAACACAACTTTCTGCTTGTCAGCCAGCAAATCCTATTGTCAAGAGTTTCTGCTCTTTTTTCCATTTTGGATCTACAAATCTCAGGGGGAAAGACTGGATTTATCCCCAGGAGTTGCCAGTTGCTGACCCCTAAAACGAAATTGAAGGACTCAAAATCATTCTTGGCAAGGGGTAGTTTCAGGCTTCACCCTTTTACCCTGTTTGGATTTGAGCACCTTTCCAACACAGAAAGGTGAAAGTGTTTGGGGGTTTTTAAGTTTGGAGAAAAAGGTAACTGAAGGCTGGGATGTAATATGATCTAGTTGAGATTCCTGCATTTGGACTAGATGACTCTCAGGGTCCCTTCCAGCTCTAAAATCCTATGATTCTATGCTAGAAGTTCATAACATTATTAGCAGAGTCGGGAAAGAAGGGACAGAGAGAAACTCGTCTAGCTTTTGCTCTTGTTCCCACTTTGTGATACTGGCAGCACAATGCCAGAGGAACCGAGGAAATCGCCTTTTACTGAGACAGCTGGTCTGTCTAGCCCAGTCTTGTCAACACTGGCAGCAGCTCTTCAAGTTTCCAGGCAGAGGTCAGCCCTACCTGGAAATGCCAGGGATTGAACCTCAGACCTTCTGCTTGCAAAGCCATATACTCTCTCTTTTGGGTTGCATCCCTTGCCTGGTTACCTTATGATGCATGAATGTGAAGATGCCTGGGTCTGTGTTACCTGCATGAATTGAGAATGACCCCCCAAAACATCAGAAAAGAGGTTGCCTTGCTTATGAAGAAAGAGTTGACTGTTGCCGGGCAAACCTTTGCTATGTGCAAGGCAGAGTGTGTCCAATGCAGACCTTCATGTGAGTGTTGTCATCAAGCAATCTCATTCCAAAGTCTGGTCAAGGGAGAGGAGCATCTTCAGGTTCTGAGGTGGTGTGTAAAGGTCGGTTCCCTGTGCAGCTATCCATCTAGCAGTGGACAGCTTAGTTGGTTAGAGCATGATGCTGATAATACCAAGGACGCAGGTGTGGTCCCTGTATGGGACAGCTGTGTGTTACTGCATTGCAAGGGGGTTAGACTAGATGATTCTCAGGGTCCCTTCCAACTTTACAATTCTACGATTCTATGACCAGTCTTGGCTGTAGGAGATGAATTGGAGAAGGAAGGAATCCTAGGAGCTCTTCCAAGAGCTGGGATAGCAAGGGGAGAATTTGACACTTCTCTGCTTTTCAGACCCTTCCATGACAGGATGGTAAACAATGCTGAGTTTATGGGTGGAAACTCATCTCTGGAATGCTGTTTTGTTTTGTGCCCAGGGCTTGGTGTATATAAAACTGCAATGCAGTGTGTCCGTTCAGCAGGAGCATGGGTGGGTGCCTGGAGGGGAGGGGCTCTCATACCATTTTTTGTTTTATTTGCAGTATTTATATAATACAGTTCTCTGGATGACTTTCAAAGAAAATGGTGGCATGCAATTAAAAATACAATACCAGAAAATAACAGTTTGCTGCATAATTGGGGTTTTCCCCCCCAACCAAAGCAGAAAGGGAGACAACTGAAAATATAAAGTGCACTATCATTAAAAGCAACATTGAAAGGTGAGCAAGACTTGTGGCAGGCACTCTGCAGCTGGGGTGCCACCATCAAAAGGGCCCTCTCCCTGGTCACCCTTTCCCTTATTTCACTTGGCAGAGGCACCCATTTGGTGGACTGGGGCCTGCTGAAGAAGACCTCCGGATACAGACAGGTACATGTAAGGTAAAGTGATCTTTTCAGTCTCCTTGTCATAATCTTGCTGACTGCAGCACAACTTTCTACAAGGTAGCTCACTTTGAGTTAGGAATGGACGAATCTGTCAGTTCTCATTTGTCTCTGTTCCTCATTTTTCGTTTCATTTTCTCTGTATTTTTGCATGCGTTTGCAATTTTTTAAAAAGGAAAAAAAAAGCCTCGTGAAGGTGACTAATAAGTACAGTAAGTGGTGGTGGTGACTTGTAAATACACTTTCCCCTAGCATAACTTTTTTTTGTACAGGTTTTTTGTTGGAGAATTGCACCACAATATTCAGAGAAGTGTGAATTTCATAAATAGGTACATTTTGGTTTGTGTATTGTTTTTGGAAGTGTGACTTAACGGAGGATCACACTGAAATATAAACCAAACTAAATTTCTCTCCCATCCTTGGCTACAATTCCTGGAGTTTTCAAGGACCTCTTGTGATAACGGCAACTCCCAAACTCTCTGAAGTTTACTAACCCCCCCCCCCCCAACTCTGCATTAATTTATTGGGGCCAACTATGTGCATCCCTCCTCCTTCTTTAAAAAAAAAAAGATTTAGATTCCACCATGTTTTGTTTTATCTTGGATCAGTCATGGTGAAGTAGAAATATTTGCTAGAATATTTTAAGATGTGAAACCACTGCTATGATTTCAAGGAACTTTATAATACACTCTGGGACATCTTCCAAAAATCCTTGTGTGTGGATAGTGGATAGAGATTTATTTTATGGGAAGTGATTATGATGTTGCTATGAGATCAAAACAGTGTCTCAGCAGCTACTTCAGATAAATGCTTGCTTCATCCTTGCTAAAACATTGCAGAAGAATGAATAGTAGCTGTTTTCCTAAAGAATAAAGCATATGGCTGAAAGCAACTTGACATATTCTCCCCAAAGAGCATGGAGTGCAAAGAGCACAGCTGCCTGGAGGGTGGAATTGCTTTTGTTTCTCCTGTTGAGAACTTGGAACCATAATCGGTTGCTTATAATCAGCTTAATGGCTTGGATCATAAAATAGGTTAATGTGAGGAAGTTAGGTGGAAGGAAAGTTTCCCAGCTTCTCAGTCAAATTCTGGGCGATTAACCTCTCCTCTAGAAGCCCCCTTGTACCCCATCCCCCATTGTTCAGGAGACCCTCCCAGATCTTCTAGATAAGTTTTTTTAGGGGAGTGTGTGGGGTGAGGGGAGGAGATGGGAAGCTTTTCCTTCTGTGAACTTCCGTAAGTTAGCTTATTGTAGGTGCTAAGGAGGTTCTGCCAGCACATCCTGCCCTCTCTTCCCCCTGTGTGCTGTTCTATGGTTTCTCCAAACTACCCTGAGCCAATTAGGTGGGAGCCTTAGGGCAGGCATAGGCAAACTCAACCCTCCAGATGTTTTGGGACTATAACTCCCATCATCCCTAGCTAACAGGACCAGTGGTCATAGATGATGGGAATTGTAGTCCTAAAACATCTGGAGGGCCGAGTTTGCCTATGCCTCCTGAGTGGGAGGGCAGCCGGCAACCCCTTTGTGCTAGTGTGCTTTGTGCTTACTTCTGCTGGCAGGACTCATTAGCTGAACCCAGCCCAAAATGTGGCAACAGAGGCGGTTTTAGGGCAGCGCAACCAGTTCCCCCCTACTGGGTGCCTAGCAGAGAGGGTAAGCACCTGCCCAGCTATGGGAAAGAGACAAGAGGGCTCTGACAGGGTCCTAGAGTCCTTCCTTCTCCTAGTTAGCACTTGCCCAGCTTTGGGAGGGAGGTGGAGGTGCTTTGAGACCCTGCTAGAGCACTCACAGCTTCTTCCCCAAGTGCAGCACAGTACAAGGAATAGTGGGCAAATTTTGGCCTCGCTTAAGGCGCCATAGTACCAAGTCTGCCCCTGGGGCCAACCTACCTTTTTGTTGCATCATGGTGTTTGTGAGGCGGGCTCAGAGACGACGATTGCTGGTCTCTGTGGCATTGCTCTGTCGACCCAGCTGGATGTAAATATGGGCAGGCCCAAAGAAGAGTGCCATGGCGGCGGTGGGCAGAGGACACACACAGGCTCTGATGTTGCATTAAAGGCGGTCTGTGGGAGAGGAGAGCAAATCGACTCTAAGCATTACGGAGAAGGGCTTGTCTTGGTGAAAAGCAATGAGTTCCATTGCACAGTGTAAGACCTGCTGCATTGTCTTGTTGACATGCCCTTAGAAAGCATCAAATCCATTTAAACTCGATCACCTTATTTCATATGTGAAGGATCACCATGACGCTGAAATGTCGGAAGCAGGAAGGGAGAAATATATGGCCTACCAGTTCTTGTTGAACTTCAGCTTCTGTCAGCCATAGGCAGCATAGCCCGTGACCAGGGCTGATGGGAGTTGTACTCCAAAATATTTCTGTTGTCCAACAAACATTAGCCACCCCAAGGATTCTTAGGTTTATGTGACCAATTGAGGGTTGTTCAACATCGCAACTGCGCCTATAAATCTGCTTTGGATCAGGCAGGACTCCTATGATCTTATATATGCATCCATTTTATACAGCCGCGGCTCAATTTATGAACAGTCATCTTTTCAATCTCTGTAGAAATCCAGAAGCAGTTGACACTTGGGCTTCTGTCCTAGGCACTGTGGTTATCTGCCAGGGGTGGGGTGGGGTTGAGGTAGCAGATCATTTCTGCTGCAATGATCAAATTTTCCTACTTTGTTTGAGATTTTATTTCCCAGTGGATTAACGTTTCAGGGCAGCATCGCAGGCGGAGGGCAAAATTCAATTAATTGAATATGAAATATTTATAACCCTGCTCTATATGTCTATCAGAGAAAGGTCCTTAATAAATCTTCTCATTAGAATGGACTAGTGACTCATGCCTCTCTGCTTCTGTAGTCGTTCGGAATTTAAATTCAATTAATCTGCTGTCCTCGTGAATATGATTTAATTATTCGGAGGGGAAAAACCACTGCATTCGCAAGATAATGACACATAGGGAGAGGACAAAAAAGGAATACCCTCTTTTCTCTTTAACAATGGCGGCTAATGCCCACCAGAACTGGTGGGGTTGTTAGGAGTCTGTGGGGATGCGGCCAATGAGCAGGTACGGCCTTGTTATTCTTCTTGTGTCTCCAACCTCCTTGAGAAGTTACTATGGAAACTTAAGGATTGGCCTCTAGGCCCAAGGTGCCCTAAACTGTCTCTAGATATAGTTTGCTTGCAATTCCTATCAGCACCAGTCAGCATGGTCATTGATCAGGAATTATAGGAGTTGTACAACAACTGGAGGGCCCAGCATTGGAGAAGGCTGCTCTACAGTAAAGATTCCAGCATGTGCCATTGGGGGGATATACTGTGCATTTGTATTACTGTTCAAGGGTGTGCAAAGACATTTGGAAATAAGGAACAGAACCTGCAAACTCTGTTCCTTCTAAACCTTGTATGTGGCACAGCTGCCCTGTTGTCGCTGGGTTGGCAACTTTTCTGTAGCTGTGTTTTTAACTGTAGCTTAGTGTGCAGGCACCAGCAGGTTATCAGGGCGGCCCACATTTTTCTAGCCAGTTGGCAACCCTGTTTATTGCCAGGTTGCTTCCCAGGCTTTCTGTTTACTTCTATCCAGTGGCTTTTCTTGAGTTCAGCTGCCTTTTCCCATTCCTCGTATACCAGCCAGCTTATCCATTCAGTTTTGTTTTCATTATGCTGACGTCCTATGGTGTTTCAAATTGAGTGTAATGTTCCCTCCCCTCAATTTTAGGCCCCTTTAAGGCACTTTTGCTCTGCCAGCTCTGGTAAACTGGCGTGTGTTGTGAATCCAGAGAACAGTTTTAGCGAATGTGTAATGGCATGCAGTGAACTGCTTTTTAGGCCACATTCATACCTTTCATGTAAAGCGCTATGATACCACATTAAACATCACTGGTTCCCCCAAAGAATTATGGGAGCTGTAGCACGGTTAGAAGTCCCCTATTCTCCTCCCAGAACTACCGTTTACAGCAGAGCTTTCCAAACCGTGTGTCGCGACACGTTAGTGTGTCGGCTGCAATGTGTAGGTGTGTCACGCAAACGCTCCCCGTGCTCCTCACGGGGCTGGAAAGGGGTTAGTTTAAACTGGTTTGCTAGTAAAACTGAATCACTGTGTTGCGAAATGATGCATGTCTAAAAAGTGTGCCCCTAACATGAAAAGTTTGGAAAGCTCTGGTTTACAGAGTGGTTTAACAATGGGTCCCCCTTTACGGAGAACTCCGAAAACTGTCAAGGGGAATAGTGGCCTCCTTACAACTCTCAGTATCCTTAAACTACTGCTCCGAGAATTATTTGGGAGAAGCCATGATTGTTTAAAGTAGTACAATAGTGCTCTAATGTGGCCTTAGTCTGCTGTCAGTTTTAGTGTTCTCATCCACCACCCGCTTGGTTTCTGTGAATGTGTTAAAAAGCAACAACCAGCAAACTTTCTAGTTGACCCTGCTATCCTATGACCCTGCCTGGGATGGTATCCCAGGGGCCATAGGATGCTTCTGAACACTGTCTCTGAGGTGCTTTGACCTCAGGGAGGATCCAGTGTTATATTCCCCCTCCCCAGTGCTGTGACACCTTCTGCAACCTGGACCCTAGCAATGCCAAGAGGTAGGGAGTGGACCAGGAAAGAAATGGAACGTAAGGATCTATAACCTTCCCAATTCCCTGTCATACACCCAAACCACAAAATAAATCACACCAACTCTAGAGCTGGTTTCGTTTCAGCTCTCCCTACTCCCATCCGATAACAGATAAACAGTTTTAAAACCACTGGAAAAAGGACAGGAGAGCAAAAATTTTCTTCTGCCCCAATTTCTACCCTGTCTGCAAGATCCCAACAGAGTGTTGGAGGAGGATAAGGTGAATTATCCATATTCAGTTCCCCTCCACCGCCCAATACTTGTAGCCTAAAATATTTTTTAATTATTTTGTAATGCTTAGCTGAGTTATAACAATATGGCTTTATCTGCTGTACATTTGTTGTATTTTAGATAGCTGTTTTGATTTTATCTTAACTGTTTTTATGCTTGTTCTTCATTTCATGCTTTTTATGCGATCTTGTGAGTGAGGATATGTATCCTGAAAGGTGGCCTGTGAACACTTTAATAAACTGCTTAGCATTTCTGGACCACCGATCTCTAAAATGAGGGCTAGAAGCTCTCATAACGACAAGTATGCTCATAATCTGAGATGGCAAACTCTTCCGGATACATGAAATAAAGTGGTATTTTATGAAAAGCTATGGATTTTGGCTGGAGAGTTGGGGAATTATCACAAATGGCTTCTGACGTTCAGAAGTCATTAGAGATTATTATGGGCAATACCATTTACAACATCCCCTCAGTCACGAATTCACTAGATACTATTTGGCAAGCTACTATACCTCAGCCTTGCTCCTGTAGAGATTTGCCTTTATGAGACCACTGTAAAGATCAGTGAGAAAATGGCTCTCTTCAGATGACCTGCTAAACCATGGCTTTTCCTATCATAATAGGAATGAGCCCTGTGTGAATCTTGGACTTTCATGCTCCCCACCCCCCAGCACTTTTGCTTCTGATTTTTATTAACTGCAGTTTAGTGTTACAGTACGTTCAAACCTTGAAGTGTTGTTTTAATCCTACACAAGCCATCTTTATACTTTGTTGGTTTGAAGTTGGCTTGGTTTAAACAAATTATAGTTAAGATTAGCCACAGTTTGCCAGATTTCAACAACACCGGCAGGGTATGCACAGATTACCAAATACAGTATACTATTGAGCCCAATACAATGTGTTAATGTTAACTTATAATGCCCTAAACAACTTAGAAGCCAAATACTGGAATACTTTCTATATCAGCCTGCTCATATATGGAGATCTGTCTGCAAAGGAGACCCTTCTTGTTGCCCTGTGGAACATCCCATCAGATGTCAAGGAATAAAACAACCATTTGACTTTTAGAAGACAACTGAAGGCAGCCCTGTTTAGGGAAGTTTTTAATATTTTATGTTTTATCGCGTTTTTAATATTCTGTTGGGAGCTGCCCAGAGTGGCTGGGGAAACCCAGCCAGATGGGTGGGGTATAAATAAAATTATTATTATTATTATTAAGGTTAAGGCTCTTGTACAGTGAAACCCATGGGGCCTCCTCTGAGTTGGTGCCCCATCTATGGAACTTCCTTCCCTTGGAAGTACAACTGGCACCTTCAATACTTGGTTTCTGGCACCAGTTCCCAATTTATCTCTTCAGCTGGACTTTCAGAAAAAATTATTCTGGCTGAGATCAGCTGCATTTAAAAAAATTATGGTTGTGTTTAATATAGGTTTAAAAATGCTGGTGGGTCTTTCTTGCTTTGCTGTACTGATGTCTAGATGGTATATGGCCCAGTAATCATAACTGATGAAGGGCAGTTTGGACAACAAATGAATAAATTGCGAATTACTCAAATGCAGGAAAGAGGAGTAGAACCTTGTAAGTTGCCCCAAGATCGTTAGAGGAAACTTGGGACATAAATGTAATACAAAACAAATGCCCCAGGGTTAATCCCTGGCATCGAAAACTGGTGAGCCCTGATGACCTCTGCTAAAAATTAAGCTCTGAAGACTCTTCACTTACCATATTTACTTGAATGTAATGTGCCATCGACTCTGATGCACACCCTTATTTTCGTGATGTAATTTAGCAGAAAAAAGGTGCACATTACATTCTAGTAAATACGGCATTTATCCTTTGGTGGAGCTGTGGAAATAATTTATTCACTCTGACTACAGTGTTACCTGGGCTGCGCTCTGCCAAGGTATTTTACAGGATGACATTTCTTTGGTATGAATCCTGATGTTGCCTTCTCCTTTGGTTGCTAAAAGGGAATCACCTCTAAACCATTTAGTGCTTTGATTTTCACATGCTGGCCTAATACTCATTACCTGCGAATTCTTTGAAACCAGAATGTTTCTAAGCTGGTTGTGAATTGCTTTCTTTTATTTTACATTATTCTCTCTCTCTTCTTCCTAACATTAGGCTGAAAATGAAAATACCTCTTCAACCCTAGTATTATTACCCCTATAGATGGCACCTTTAATGTGTACTATTCATTGTCATAATAGCTGCACCTGTGTGGAGCAAGCATATTGGAACTGCAGCAGCTGTGGACTGTAATTGCAAAGCATTATTTTCTGTTTCTCTCTGAATGTGTGTGCATGTGTGTGCGTGCACACACACACATGGTTGCACTGCTGTGAAGATCCATTTATAATTATTCCTTCTGTAGGGCTCCCCATAACTATGATTACATGGTATGTAGGGCCAATGAAAAGGCGTGGAATTACGGTTGCCAACTGACCAGGACAAGACCACAGACTGCATGCTAAAGATGCAGATAAAAAGCCGGCCACTCTGTAAAGAATGATTTGCTCTGCTGATCAGTCACCTTTAAACAGGTCAGCAAGCGGTATCAGAAATGTTTAATTTGTTGGTTTGTTTCCTGTAATTTAATTGTTCTCGTTCATCATTGCACACAGCCCTGTTCCTCCAGGCTCTGCTTCCTCTTCCTTTTCTGTGACTTGCTTCCAAGAAAGGCCCTGATTAAAAAAAAACCTGCATTGCCCCACCACCTCTCTTCTGCCAGGTCCTTAGACTCATGCCACTCCTCAGCTCTTCACTTGCTTGGTTCACCATCTCAACAAGATGGCCCCATTCTCTAATCCCCAGCCCTGGCTCCCCCTCCAGGCACAGATGAAGTTAACACCTCTGGTGAACAAAAAAATCCAGGACTTTCCCTGGAAAATAGGGACACTTGCATAATCTGCCCAACAGTTTCTGTCTTCAGCTGCTTTTCTTCCACCATTTGGTGTATCCAGAGGCAGCCATTGTAGATTCTAGGACATTCATTCAGCTCTTTTCTTACATGATCACACACAGAAATATTCATGCAGGTTGGCAGATTAGTATAATTCGGAGAGGGAAGGAGGCAGGCAAGTAAAAAGACACCAGGGCCTACTCCCGCCAACTGCCCTGTAAGGAAAATTTTCAAGAGAGCAAGAGATAGGCAGGCAAAATTCTCCTCAGAGCATGCTGCAGGTGACCTGTTGCCTCCCCTCATGGGGCCATTGATCATTGTCCTATGGGAACGAGTCCAGGAGAGACAGGAAAATATAATCTCAGGGCCTCCTCCTGCTAGACTCTCTCCTCTGCCCCCATGGGGCCGTCTGCCCCCAACTATCCTGTGGGAAGGCGTGGGCCAGAGGCAGTTAAAATGGCTGCTGTCTCCTCAGCAGCCCAACAAGCAATCAGTCAGAACAGGTGGTTGCTGAAGATACCTTCTACCACATGTGGTGGACTTGTAAAGAGGTAAAGGCTTTCTGGGAAATGGTATATAATGAGATAAAGAAAATGTTTAAAAATACTTTTGTTAAAAAACCAGAAGCCTTTTTACTGGGTATAGTGGCTGAAGAGATACCAAGGGAAGATAAAAGACTGTTTATGTATGCAACAGCTGCGGCAAGAATTCTTTTAGCCCCAAAATGGAAACAACAAGAAGTACCAACGAAAGAAGAGTGGCAGATGAAGATGATGGACTTTGCAGAACTGGCAAAACTGACAGGAAAAATCTGAAACCAGCATGATCAAGTATTCCAAAAGGACTGGAGTAAATTTATACGATATCTGAAAGATTATTGTAAGCAATTAACATCACTAGCAGGGTTGTCTGAAGACTTGTAATGAGAAATTTTCTATCTTTCTATTTTTATTTAAAATTTAAGCTATTTTGTAATGAGTGTAATTAGAATTGGAAAACGTACAAAATGCAATGATACAAAGGTTAATTTTGAAAGCCATGAGGCGGGAGGGAAGGAAGTCGATAGGCTCTAAAGAGCCAAAGCCATAAAGTGGATAATAATGATGTGAATGTATAATATTAAATGGAAAATAAATAAAAATTAACTATATGTGTGTGTGTGTGTGTGTGTGTATGTACAGGTTGCTGCTGAGTAAGGGCAGGGTTAAGAAGAAGCAGAAAGCCTCCAGTGTGAGACTGATGGTTTATAAGTCCAAGGGAAAGGCATGAAAGAGCTTTTTCTTAAAAGAATTGATGCAGGGAGCAGCAAGTAATATGTGAGGTGTTTGTGGGGTGTGAAACTAAGGAAATCTGCTATAATCTTTAAACCATGACGTGCCAAGCGCATGCCACATGGCTTAGTGGAATATAATTGTTTTAGAAAACCCCTTTACACTACTAGTGATTAGGTGAAGAGTGGGTTTTAAGCTCTAGGAAAACTCAGATGTCACCTGGACAGTGAAAATGCCATGTGGTTCATACCCCCAAAATGCTGGAATGGCTAATGTACAAGACAAACTTTGACACAGTGTGGATAAGCCCTGACTCCGGAAGGTGGAGATTGTTATGAGTGTGGGGTGTTTGCTGTCCCCTCAGGACGAGCTGGACTTCTCTGGACTGACAAAGAAACACAATCAGCTACTGCAAGAAACAAGGACAGCTATATGAACTCTGAGGGAATGGAGACTCTGTTCCTGTGACAGAAGAGTACAAATGAACCGTTATAATTTGAAACTGTTAATGATTTTATTAATGCCTCTTCACATTACTTTCAAACTGTCTTTGAAGCATCTGTATCCTGACAAGCAGGATATAAATAACTGTAAATGAATAAACAGTCACTATAATAGTCCAGACACATTAAGAAAGAAGAAAAATCAGACGCGAGCAACTACTGCCCATTTGATCTTGTCCAATCAGTCCCTGTCATATTGTGACTTTACTTTTCAGATTGGAAGTTAATAAAAATATTGTTGCAGAAAAGTAAGGTAGTTTTTTTTAGTAAAGGTATATTAAAGCATTTTTTAAACGGCAGATGGTAAATATGTGTGTGTGTGTGTGCTGGAGACATTTTTGTGTGTGGACTTTTCCCAACACTTCTTCTTTAGCCAAGAAAGTCAAGTGGACAGTGGATATAAGAATTGCTACTAACCAAAAACATACCAAAATATTGAAGTAAAACCTGTGGTAGTTCTGCCATTTTGCCGTAGTGCACAGTAGCTGTTCATAATATGACCTTGCAAGCTTTGGCTTGTGTCAAACTTTAGGACAATGACTGAGAGATGGGGGTTTCAAGCAATGTTGTACTCTGTGGATAGGGCAACAAGTGATGTGAGCTTTCAATCTGCTGTGATAAATCACAAGAGAGCCAGTATGGCGTAGTGGTTGCTGCATCAGACCCGGACCTGAGAGGCTACGATTCAAATTCCCACTTAGCCATGAACCTCACTAGGTGACCTTGGGCCTGCTGGGATCTCTCAGCCTAACCTACATCACAGGGTCACTGTGAGGATAAAATGGAGGGAGGAGAAAACCACATATGCCACTTTGAGCTCCTTGGAGGAAAGGCAGCATATGAATGTATTAAATATATTTTCGTGAACTTCAGCTTTGAGACGTTTTGTGCACCACTGGCAACTGTCTGGAAGTGTCAGGAGAATTCATTTTGCTACCCAGACATTTGAGAAGACATTGCTCATGGCATCCATCTGTGTTGGAAGACAATGGTGGAGTCTGCCTTTGGAGTGAGGTCAAGGGCATACTATGGGACCCGTTGGGCCTGTTATATTGCTAAGTTTTGCAAACAAGCCGCAAAACCTGGCAGCTCTGCAAAACTGGCCACCATTTTTGTGTGTGGGGGGGGCACCAAATGTGCTCCTTGGCCAGGGCACTATTTATTTTAAGGTCAGCCCTTTCAGAAGTTCTCAGATGCATCTGCAGACTCTCATCTGAGATCCGCTCCACAGATTTAAAGCACAGTCAGCACACATTTAAAGCAGATGACTTTCCCCCAGATATCCTGGGAATTGTCACTCTGTGAAGGTAAAACTGCATTTCCCTGGATTCTTTGGGGAAGTAATGCCCTCTAAATAAATGTTGTGGATCTGCTCCAACGCAGAAATCTACTGTTATGTTGTGGCTCCGACACAGGATGGCAGTCTCTCCACAAACTTTGCATGACTGCTACAGAAAGCAGAATTTCTCTGTGGGTGTAGTTTTAAAATAAATAGATACAAATTAATAAGCGCATAAAATAGGGTTGCCAGGATACCCTAGAATGCCAAAAAAACCCCTCAGTTTTTTAATTGACTTGCCTAAGATCCAAGACAAAGCGCCGCCTTTCGGAAATTCCACCTTTGAAATCTCTATAATGTCTGGGAAAATCCGGACGTATGGCAGCCCTAGCATAACACAATATCTTGTTCTTGTTCTTCATTTTGGAGCAAGAAAAAGTTGGAACAATTTTTTTTAATGAAAAATGCATTAAAATATCTCAGAGCTGCATATGAACAGTATTGTAGTCCTTTGCGAGTCTTACCATACTTCACTTCCCACGGAGGCGGGGTGTGTTTATTCTCTCAGAGGGGCCTATAGTACTGTATGGCAGGGTGGAAATCATTAAATAGATACAAATAAAGCAAAGGTATGTTAAACCCTTCTTTTTCTAATATACTTGCTTTTTGAAGCAGCCTGCAAAAACTTTTCAGATCCTTTCAAACCACTGAGTTTTGTGCACTTGCTTTTGGTTTACAAGACCCCCCCCCCCCAAAACCAACCCTACTAATACCAGGTGGAATTCGCTTCATTGTTTATTTAAATAATTTATAAGCCATCCATCATTCCAAAAATGATAGTGGCAGTATTTAAAAACAAAAACAACAAATAAAGACAAAGCAGCTAGTTAAAACAGTAAAAGGACATTACACCTGTCTGTAAAAACCACAAGTAGTCAGTCTGCCTACCAAAATTTGGGTATTTTGTTTGCATGATGTAGGTATATCAGTCAGGATGCTGAAATAGACTAAAGCTCTTTTATATTGCACAGAAAAGAGACAGGAAGCATTATGAACCCTGTAGTGCAGTGTCTGAGACACTTGCCTAAGGTCACCTAGTGAGGTAGCACTTGAAGGATTTTTTCCACAGGTATTACTTATTCAGGGATAGTCATGTAAATAAGTGCTGAGTAGCGTGAGCCAATTTCTGGTTCTTGCTCATCGTCCTTCCAAGAAAATCCATGTGGATTTTAAAACTTTGACAAAGATTTACAACTTCTGCATATTATATATTTCTTCACAGGAATCATTCAAATATGTTCCAGTGGAGGAAATCTCCCCACCTTTATTATAAACAGTGAGTAACACACATGCGTAATACAATCATTCATTGTGCATAATAAATATTGGACAACAAATTTGTAGAATAATTTCATCTGTGAACTCAGTTGGTGAATTTACAAGTTCAAGGAGAGCTTCAGAGCTGATCTTTCCTTTGTATGTTCATCCACACATATTAGTCTTCCACACATATTAGTCACAAAAACAGCAGAGCAGGATTTTGAGAGCTACTTTGCGCCTGCTGACAAATATGGTTCTAATCCTGCTCCTCAAAGACTACCTATAGTAGGAAAACAATAGCATAGCCTTCCTTCCTATCCTTTCCTCGCTCTGATTTTTGTAATAAGAAAGGTAATTGTGCTAGTGGATACAATGTTGTACTTGGAGCAAGGAGGTTTGAGCTTATATTTCTGCTCTGCCATGAAGTTCTTAGGGTTGTTTTGAAGCGAAAATCAGATAACAGTTATGTGCCAAATCTCTTTGGAGGACGCTCAGAATACAAATATAATAACTATATAAACAGTCACTTACTTGCACACTAATAATTAGTGAAAGTTGAAGCCATCGCCTTTCCCTAATGGTCAGGAAAGCATTAAAATGACAAAGTGTGAGAAAAGTATTACTTACCATTCACTCATTAGTTATTACAACTGTCTGCAATTCGCCTTTTCCCCCCAAATGTTTCACCAGATATATTTTGTAAACCATCTAAAATTATAGGGTCCTCTACCCCTTCTTTTACCCATACTGGAAATATAACATGAGATCATATTTATATCACATTGTTTGGGTTCTAGTGGTTGCAATATTCTGTGGGGCAAAGTCCTTAAAGTGAACATGGTTCAGTTTTTATGTGCAGTGCAAAAGTCGAGATTTAATTGATGAATTGACAGGATTTATATACCACTCAATTGACAAAAACCTCAGCTAAGTGGCTTACATAAAACCATAGAAAATGTTCATTAAAAAATATAGATACACTCAAATTTTAAAAAACAAGTAGATGTAAAATTTATAAAGCCAGCAGTTTTAAAATGAACATCTCTATCAAAAGAGTTTATGAAACATTTCCTGGCTGAAGTTATCAGCCAGTTATAAGCTTCTCTGGCTTTTATTTTGCTCAGCAGTCCTCAGTTTCATCCGCAAAGCCCTGGTGGATTGCAGAGAAGGGTGAGCAATTGGTTGAATGACACTTAAATGATTGTTAAATGAAGCAGATTTTTCTAGCTGATAACATTTATTTCTCATTAGTATCTCCCACATTGATGTTGTCCTACAAGGTAGAGGTTGGTGCATGAACTGCACATATGCATAGGGTGGAATCCAGTGTTATGTGACCAGGCAATCAGGCTCTGTTTTCCTCTATTTTGCCCCCTGCCCCCCCGCAGCCCACCTCACATCAAATGAGATTTTGAGGGTTCACAGAGGTCTGCAGCCGGGAGCTGGAGTCCCTTTGTGTGTGTGGAAATCCTTTCCACTTGCTCTTGAACAACTTTGGATACAATCCAATGTTCTTTTTTAAATGCTCTTGTGACCACAGAATATTATAAAAGCATTTCAAAATAGCACTTTGGTTTTCATTCAACATTGTCCATGAATGGAATGGAGTCTTGCATGCCTCAAATACTATATCCTGAAGGCCTTTCAAATCAGGGTGGGGTGGGTTGGGGTTGTGTGTGTGTGCATTAAGAGCACATTGATTTTGATACAGTCTGCACATCATTCCTCGTGGTATGCTGGTGAATATTGCATCAGTGCTCTAAGTATTGTGCCAGGTTTGCTATGCTTTGGCCTTGGGCAAATGCAATACTACTCCCAGATGATGTAGTCACTGCCAAGGTTACTGCAGTGAAGAAATAGGGACAAGGGGAAATAGAGAGCAGAATCAGAATAATATTTATTTACACCAGTCATAGCAATAAAATAAAATACAATGTGCTGAAGATAGAGCTAAAAACTTAACTATACAAAATACATTCTGGAGGTTTACATCAAGAATCAAATAACAGATCTTATTTTAATTGCCCCTGCTAAAAAGTTTGCAGTTTTTGCTGTCACCTGATTGTCTTGATTTGCTAGTAGAAAGGACACAGTAGCAATAGTTGAGCAACCTAATATTAATAGTAATAGAGGGGTGATAACCTCACTCCTCAAATCTTTAAAAGAGTGCAAGCTAGAAGCACATGGCTACTGATTCAATACTGCCATCTCCAAATGGACATGTGTTTTTTCCATCAGATTTTTTTGAAATCGACCCTCAAGTACAGCTGAAGGCAGTATATTTAATCTTGCAAAAGTGAAAGCAGTCTGTATTTTTGAATTGTTAAATTTTGCAACTAGGTTGCCAATGTATCAACATGACTAGGTGGAAAATAATCATACCATGGGCAAAATTTTCTTATTGTGGCCAAATTATTCTGTCGCTTCATATCATATAGGCGCTGTGTAATTAAAATATTTGCTTTACTGAAGCCCAGTGTTAATAACGGTTGTGGTGATAAACCAGAAAAGTAAAGCTTTTGGTTGACAATTTTAGTCCAAGTGCTCTCATGACAATCTTGCAATACTAAGGGTAGTAGACTGGTGGGGCTTAAATTTAGCCAAAGCCAATAATTAAATGTCCTACACCAAATCTGTAATTCAACAGAGGGGAGATTAGCCTCCAAGCGCAATGAAGCATTTGGAACACAGGATGGAACAGGAAAAAAATTTGCCTTAGGAACTTAGACTGAACAGCTTCTGTAGATCCAAGGTGAGCACTGTCCAAATCTGAGCCCCATATAATAACTGTGCTAGGAGTTTAGCTTTAAACACTTCAAGTGCTGATGGTATGTGATTGCCACCTTTTGAATGGAAAAAGCATGTCAGGGGGAAAAGAGAGACAATCCAGGATCAGATCAGAAGCCAGGATGGCTTTTATAATTCCGGTTCTGTCCCTGGAAAATCGGGACTCTTGGAGGGTATATAAATCTTGCATAGAGAAGTTATATCTCCCAGTGCTGTTTTTGTTTGGTTTTTAGAAAAAGAGGTGTCGGAACTCACCATGAACACTTCCATTGTTCTCTTTTAATGGCAATGGCACCCACCTGAGAGGTGCCTGAATTGAGTTCCGGCAAGTTCCGGCTGGGGAAAAATCCTCTACACTGGTAAAATCAACTATCTTTGCAGTATTTCGGCTCAAATCCATACACATTTTGCAGAGTAGGGCAGAAGCCTAGTGGCTTGTTTTCTGACAAACTCCACACACATTTTGCATTGCAACACAACAGTTTTTGCACATAATTGTCTTTGATGACAAATGCAACACCAGAATCAGCCCCGTCTGCATTTCTCATTTTTGTTGCTGCCTGAAGATTGGCCAGACCCCGTTCACTTTTCACTCTGTTGCCTCTTAAGAAATCTGTGAGAAGCAACAACAGTCTCATTAGAGATGCCCCTATTTGGAGTAGGCAGAACTGTGGCTCCCATTTCCTTTATGTTTTCACAGTTGTCGAAAGCATCTAAAAGAGAAAATTTTAAAATAAGGAGCTCAGAGATCCCCAAAGGCAACAACAAGTCATTTTGGGGAGACAATAATCCTAGCCTAAAAAGCTGAGAACTGTTAGCTGTTGGGGTTTGTCCAAGCATTTAAGGCTGTAATATAATGAATGCCATGGGGTCTGCTTCCACGTAGGCATGTATGGAATTGCACTGTTGTTTGGTGCCATGTGTCAGGGAACTGCCATCAGTGCCGGAGGGAGAGAGCAAAATCCAGAGGGATTCCAGAGAGCGTCCCGGGATTGGGAGAGGCAGCCCATCTTCTGGGGAAGAGAATCAGCGTAGCACCAGTGGAGAAGGGGGGCAGATGGGGGAAGCGGCGAGGCAGTCCCATGACTCCTTGCCGGGGACCAGCGGGGAGAGTAGGGGTCCTCCGCTGCCTACGCCCTCCTTGTGCAGAAGGCTTTCGCGCAGAGAGAGTAGGAGGAGACTAGGCGTCAAAGAGCTTCTTTGCTGGAAGAAGTTTAAGAAACGCCCACTGACGGATTCTGCCAGCGATTGAGACAGCCACGGGTGAGTGGCTGTCCGGACAGAAAAGGTTCACTCAGGCAACCCAGCCAGGTGTTTGCACCGGTTTACGCACGAGCAACCCCTAGAACCATTACACCATGCGAGTGCCTTCTAGCAATGGGCAGATCCATCTATTTCCATCGCTTGTCAGTATTGCATGTACCCAACCACATACATGCTCCAGTCTGTTGTTGGGTGTGTGTTTTTTGCTGTGCAAAAATAGGGGAAAATGCATTTAAATTGTATGTATTTTGTACACACTCTTTCCTTAAAATATTCCTTCCTGTATGCATTTAGCCATGAAAGAAAACACATCATCTCTGCATTGCTGTGCACTGTTCTGCATAGCTGATTTGTTATTCTGGTTCTGGTTATTTTGTGGGTTGTTTTTAATTTTTATGATTTTAATTGTGCATTGTGTTTAACTGAATTCTTCTATTTTTGTAGCCCACCCTGGTACCATTTGGTGAAGGGTGGGCTGTATTATAATAAAATAATAAAGAAAAGACACATCACTGTATGCATTTTAAAACAAATGCTGCATTGCAAAAACAAAAGACCACATACGCACCCAGAGATAGTAGCATTCTAATCCACACACGTATATGCTGAGGACCAGCTAATAAGATTGCATTTGGAGCAAATTTCTCCTCTACCTCGTGTCTTCCTCCTTATAGCTTGTGCTTTATGGTAGCTCCTAGCCAGGAATCAGGAAGAACAATAATACAAATTGTCTGCTGCCAAGGCTCTGTGGAACCCTTCCTCTTCACTTGGCACAAGAAGGGGTTGGATTGCAGACTGAAGCACTAGTCTGGTCACAGGTCATACATAACATTGTGGGGCTGGTGCAGCCTTCTTACAGCAGGATTGCTTTTCTGCAGGGGAATGCCTCTTTGCCACTTACAAAAAGAACGGGAAGTTCTTTATTGGGTGAGACTTGGCTGGGATGGATAGGGAGTTATCCTTACACTTATTCACCTGTTTATTTATTTGGATTTTAACATTTGTTTATTTGCCTTTTTAAAAGGCTATCACAGACGAATGCCTTCTGTAACTCTTGTCGTACTGGTTTAGGGTAAAGGGTATTGGAGTTTAACATCATCTGAAGGGCACAATGTTGACTTCACCGCCATAAGGAAATCCAGACATATGTGGTCATCCTTAAAAGACTCTCCAATGCATTGGAATTCTGCTTCCTCTGTAAGTGGTTATATACGCAATTAGCCATTAAATAAAGGAACATACTCCCCAACCCCAACATTTGGTCTCTGTTTTCATACTTTGTGAGTATTTGATTTAATGAATTTAATGAATTTCTGTATTGGGGGGGGTGTTTGAAGAGATGTGGATATATGCTTTAGGTATGTTTTTATTATAGAGGAGACACACCTCTGTGAAATATTTTTTGTTTGTGCGTGTGAGGAGATTTCACCCCTCCCATATCCAAGAATCTCCTGAGGAGTCTGCTGATTCTCCAGAGAGGAGGAGGCGTGTTCTGCTCTCTACTTATTCTGCTCCAGCACCAAGTCAGTCAGTCAGTCAGTGTCGGGGAGAGAGAGAGAGAGAGACTGAGTGTTAGAGATCGTGTGTAGAGATCGTGTGTAAGGTTGCTGCTAAGAGCAGCTGCAGACACTCAGTGCAGTGCAGCATTTATTTATGCTTAGACCTATTTAGCTCTGTATATAGTTGTATAATAGTTGTAGATAGAATAAAGAAGATATTCTACAGAGCTGCTCTCCGAGTTGTTTATATACTCTGCTAGACTCTGCTGTACTCTGCTGTGCGATGACTGTCTTCTTGTGGAAGTGAATCCGGTGCTCACAACTCTAAGCTGTGAGTCCACAGCACTTTGACCTGTTCCTGTGCAGAAGGTGGTCTCTGGAAGTGCTACCCAGCTCGCCTAGCCCAGTCGGGGCTGAAGTGGATGAGTCCAGTTGGTGGCACTGGCTCAAGGGCGATGCTGACAGCGTGTGTGTGTAAACTAATTGTTCGGTAATATTACAAACTGAATCTTTAAATAGAGTTTTAAACACAATTACAGCTAACCCTCCCCAACCCTTTACAGCTACTACCAAGGCTGTGCAGCCATAGTGGAAGAGAAGTGGCATCTCTTGCTGTTAATAGCGTCTAAGTAGAACCAGTAGGTGCCTATGACGGCCGTACAACAACAATACACACAGCAGCAGACTCAATAACAGTGGCTGGGAGAACTTCCTTTGAAAAGTGCCACCACCATGCAGTTTGACAGCTGGGTTCTCAGAGATATAAGCACAATGTGGAGGGGAGATATCAATTTACCTGGCAGGGGAAAAAACAAAACACGTTTAAAGTGTGTGGCCACCTTCCTCCACAAAACACTCAAGCTTTTGTGTTGTGTTATCTTTATATCTTACTAGCATCCTCAGGCATGTTATGAAACACACACAAAAATAGCATAGTTTTGGAATCAGTGAATAAAATAAGTGTTGTTCAGCCCACCATTTTGATTCAAAATTATATCCAGATATAGATGAAAAACTTGTTCTTTGATCTCAGGAACCATCATGCCAAATTGGGTTACGATTTCTTAAGAGGTGTCCAAATACATAGCCAACAGGCAAACGGCTTTCCAAACTAATGATGCTGAAGTATTGATCACAGAGGTCTAGTTTTTAAAGAGAAGAGGGGATCATAGCACACATTCTCTTTTTGTTGCTGTTGCATGTGACTATTTCTCTGAATTCTTAGTTTTTATCTGGGTACATACAGTGTGCAATCCCTTCTTTATTACTGTGCCTGGACCAGAAGGAAAGAGAAGAAGAAACCACAATCTAAGCCACGTGTGTATTCCAGTGCTAGCATCAGAGCCTTACGGTGCAGGTACGAGTGAGTTGCAGCAGCAGAAAGGTATCTCTCCTACCTCCGTGTGACATGGTAACAATATCTTCAGGCACCGTATTTAATAAACAGATAACAAAGTGTCTGTCAACCTCCTCAGCATTTTAGAGGTTGCTTCTATAGAGAGGTTTATAGACTTATTTCCCATCAATGAGCAGCCCTGACGGCATTAATTCCTCCCATTGAAACAAATGAGTCTGGATGGATCTGACTGCATGGCTTTCAAGGGAATTCATTCTGTATCTTTCATGTTTGCGATATCTGTGAGAAACAGGAAACTGTTTTCCTATCTCATTCACATAATAGATAAGATGAGAAATTAGCTGCTGGATGAGCATCCTGGGGGCTGTTCGTTTTGTCACAATAAATAAGGTTTGGCTGATGCTAAAGCGCTCTCTCTCTCTCTCTCTCTCTCTCTCTCTCTCTCTCTGTGTGTGTGTGTACACAGCCTGCTACACACCCACACACCCACACACCCACCCACCCACAGACACAGAGAGAGTTTTGCCACAAATATAGCTCAGCTTTCTCATTGCCAAGTTTTGTTTCTTGGTTTTGCATGTCTTATATGAAAGGGGTGTTTTTGCTACACAGAATGATCTGTTCCCATCAAAATTCTTCCAGGATAGTGAAGCCAATGTCATAGTCTGAGCTGGAGACTGCGGCAAAGTTCTGCTTCTCCATCTTCAGAGGAGGTTCCATCAGGTCTCTGGTCTCCGGTGTGGACACAGGTAGGTCCTGGAATATGGCAATCAGGATGCAGTGCCAGGTTGAAACTCCATGGGAACAGTCTACTGGTGCAATTATGAGCATGAATGTGTGCTAAGGAGAGAAAGGGAGGGTGAGATTAGGAATTGACATAGCTAAGAGCCAACCTGGACTCTGGAGAGGTCTATGATAGCTATGTTGCGCCTCCACTGGCAGAAGCCATGTGCCTCTAAATACCAGTCACTGGGAGTCACACGTGAAGAGAGTGTTGCTGCATTCAAGCCCTCCTTGCAGGTTTCCCAAAAGTATCTGGTTGACCAATGTAAGATGAAAATGCTAAACTAAATGGACCTTTGGCCTGGTTCAGATGGGCTTTTCCTAAGTTCTTATGAGGGATGGGACTCTGAATAAACTTTTACCAAGTCATGGGCCAGTTTTACTGGATGTTGCCGAGGAGACGTAGGGTGGTAGCTGATTGAACATTACCAAGTTGGGCCCATTCATTAGGTCTACTCTGATTAAAATGTGAGTTGACTTTCACCCACATGTCATAGATGCAGGTCAGCGTTATCATTGAGGCCTTGCAACTTCTAGTTATTGGTCACTTCCATAGCACTCAGCATCTTCTCTGTAGTTGTGTTGTGAAACGCCTTTCACTTCCACCTTCATTTTGTCACCTTGCAATAGTCTTCTCCCCAAATCTGTGAAAATGAACATGGAGAAAACAACCAAGGAGATGCATTGTTCTTTCCTTGAAGCTGCGGCTCAATGTCTCCGGCTGTTTGTGTGGTGTGACTGGGGTGCCAGTTCTATGGAAGATACCTTCTCTCACCTTCAGCAGGGTCTTTGGAAGATGAGAGCGAGAAAACTTGTCCATGGGTGTGCAGCTGGGAAGCCAACGGATGAAGGGATAGTCAAAGCAGGTTGAGGATGGGGGGGTTTTTTTTGTTTAATGTTTAGAAAACTAAAGAAAAGGAAATCAATTATGAGTCTTACCTGAATTTTATTTCCTCACCCAAAACCAAATTACTCAGCAAACTTATCGCTTGCTATTGCAGGCCTTGGTATTAAAGAAAACAATCAGGCCAGCAGGATTAATCTCTGACAGCTGCCTTATCTTTAACTTGCACCTTTGTTATTTTCTGATGAGCTTCTCTTTTTTTGCTGCCACGTTGTACCATACCTCACTGGTTCCTTTCATTTTATCATCAGCCAGGAGCGGAGGACCTTTCAGTTTATTAAAAAACCTTTATTTGTGAAGAACAAAGAGGGAGAGAGAAAAGGCAAACAATGAGGTCAGACAATCTCCTTCCTACCAGAAGTCACTCACCTGTTATTTAGAGCGTTATCAGGTGCTTTTTTTTTTTGCTTTTTGTGTGTGTGTCTGTGTGGGGAGAGACTTGCATCATTGAAAAATGGGGCTCTGACAGGCTACTCTGTTAAAACGAATACAGACACACACCAAACAAAACCTGCAGAGCTCTGACGGACACAGATCATCCTCGAGACAATGACCTCGTCAGTTGTCAAAGAAGCTATATTTTCACTTGCTTCATGGGGGATTTGTTTTACGGACTTTCCTTTAAGGTAGTAAGCAGCCACGACACAAACATAAAAGCCTTGACAGGTCCAGCAGCAAAAGTATATAAAACCACATGCATGAGATCTGCCATTAAGGAAGGTTTCCATTGTGAGTTTTGTTGACTTTCCTGTTTCTGTTGCTGCTTTCATTGATGTATACAGTGAATGCCGTGTGATTTTACACAGCCTGGTTGTATGTATGCTTACTCAGACACAAGGCTAGTTCAGATCAGTGGGGCTTGCTCTCAGGTAACAGTGCATAGGGTTGCAGCCCAAATTGGTTAACCAGGCAAGCATTTGCACTTCACCTGGTTTTATTTATTCATCACATTTGTCTCCCGGTCTTCCTCCAAAGGTGCATGTGGAGCTTTTCCTTTTCTGTTCACAACAACCCTGGGAGAAGCTGAATTGAAAGCAGGGATTTGAATTGAAAACTTCAAAGACAAATACAAAACTCTATACTACATGTGCATTCGTGAATGCTATCCCATGCTACTGTAAAGTGAAGAAAGAATATGGAAGACGATGCCTTTGATACCCTAGCCAAAAATTTATGTCCCCCTTCAATCTGAAGAAAATTGGGGGTACCAACATATTGAACTGCAGATATATATATATAGTGGGAACTATTTCTACTTAACCCCAGAAATGGATAATTGACCTATGTGTCAACATAGTCAAACTGGTTTTTATGTGTGCATGAGAATGCAAAAGCACAAATGGATAATGTCCCTTTTTTTGCCTAAATGCAAGGCTAATGTATACAGAACTGTGGCATGTACTTGGAGACTGAAGGGAGCACTATGCAAGCAGATCTTCCAGGCAAGCAGATGTGGCAAGGGAAGATATGTGGCTAGGAGTGGGAATGTGCTGCTCTGCTCTGCAGGAGCAGACAAGGGAATGATGTTCAGGGGAGCTGCTCTCCCTGTCTGAGGCCACAGATCAAAATGAGCCAAAGCTTCTTCCAGCCATAAAATGTAAGTGGTCTTAAGTCTGACATCTTGGACACTTCCAGGTCTAGACATGAGTGGCGAGTCCCATTAGCAAAGTGGTCTTCTTCGCGTCCCAGTGATATAACGCTCCTATTCATAGCTCCGCCAAATGTGATATAGAGGACTTTAAAGTTTGACATTTTTATTCAAGGAAAGCTATTACTGACCTAGGACTGCTTCTTGCCTGGAGAGCAATTCCACATCTTTGGAGCAGACGTTTCCTTGACAGGTAGGTTTTAATGGTGGCTATCAGAAGATACATGGGAGGATTCTGTGAGACTTGTGTGTACTCTAAGGGCAGGGAGGGAGATGATGTGGTCCTGCAAGTCTTACGAGGTAAGCTGTCCACACCTGCCCCCGCCACTAAAAACAAAACCTCTGTTACTTTCCGTATTGCCATGCTTTTTGAAGCTGTAACAGAGGGATTGGAGGGAGGACAAACAAAGACATAGTGGTGCAAAAGAAAGGGAATGCCTCATTTCTTTTCTTGTCTGCTTTCTCGATTTGGAAAGGCAAGAGGCAGTGGTGAGAGATGTGAGAAGGAAGGAATCATCTTCCATATTATTCCCTCCAGATACAGTGGTACCTCGGGTTACATACACTTCAGGTTACATACGCTTCAGGTTACACACTCCGCTAACCCAGAAATAGTGCCTCAGATTAAGAACTTTGCTTCAGGATAAGAACAGAAATTGGGCTCCGGCGGCGCGGCAGCAGTGGGAGGCCCCATTAGCTAAAGTGGTGCTTCAGGTTAAGAACAGTTTCAGGTTAAGTACGGACCTCCGGAACGAATTAAGTACTTAACCTGAGGTACCACTGTACCCATTCCTGCCTCACCACGCTGGGAGCAGCTGCTGCAGCTCTGACATGGCTGGGGGGGGGCTGGGTTACCCCTCTTTCCTTGGAGGTGCCTGTGTGGCCCTTTAGCCAATCATGAGTGTGTGAGGGGGTGGGGGTGGGGCTTGGGAGCAGACCTAAGAGAGAACTGTTTCCTTCTGACCTCACTGGTATTCTTCAAGCCGAGGGTGGATTGCATTTCTTGAGGGATGCTCTCGATTTCCTGCATTGAGCAGGGGCTAGACTAAGGTTACCAGATTTTTTCAATGAATTCGGGGACATTTTTCAACTTCAATGGATTTTGTATGGGGACTGGTTTCTAAATCCGGGGACTGTCCCCGGGAAATGGGGACGTCTGGTAACCTTAGGCCAGACTAGATTGTTTCCAAAGCCCCTCTCCAGTTCTAAGATTATACAATACCTTGTATTTCCAGTGGGTCACATAGTGATATGCTTGGTCCTTCTCACTCATAAGAAGCCCATAAGTGAAGCTGGTTGCTGACCCCTGACATCGATGCACTTTGATAGCTGCTGTTTCAGGTTGTGGCACATAGGATTCCAGTTCACCTGAGCAGATTTTACTTGTTGAAAACCAGTAATTTATTTTTTTCCTCCAATGAATTACATATTTGAACTTGTCTTGTGCATTACAGCACGTCCTGCTGGTACCTAGCTTTTTGCAAGTATTTCAATACATGCTGTGTTGTGCAATGAGTATGCAATGAACTCTTGTATTGACTTCAGAATGTTTTGGAAAACAGTAATTTGAATGAGGGTTTTTTTTTAATGATATGGACCAATGTTATATTTTTTGGAAAGCTGGATGTGAAGACCCATGCTTCAGTGCCACAGATTGTATATAATGGTTTCCAGGCCACCATTTTAATATTCTTTTCAATACAGAAGATCAGTGGCGGGCAGGAGGAAAGTAGAGAAGGACTGATAGCCTCATGTGTGTTTGGAATGTGCAAAGACATTATCTGAAAGAAAATGCAGCATTGCAAGGAAGATAAAATGAAGCCATTGTTTGCAGTAGGGATCACTCCTTAGTAGGCTAGGAAATTGTACCCAAACCATACTATCTGCAGAAAGCAGGCCTGACCCATTTGAGCTACTGAGATGATGAAACTTCAGTCTATGTTAGTAGCAGATCCACCTCAATTAAACTAGGATAAAAATGGAAGAAACAGCAATACTGCAGAAACACTGAATTCCTCGTAGTTTCCTCCATTAGAAAATAGGTTTAATAATTCTTTCTGTGTGAAACCCTGATAGAAATAACTGAAGGAATGTGCTTAATTAGAGCACTAATGGCTCACTCCTATGCAAAATTACTTGGAAATAAGTCCCACTAGGCTTAATAGGACATATTTCTATGTAAACATGCATAAGAGAGAAGTGCACTGTTACTAATTCAGATGCTTTTCTGGACATCATTATTTTTGCTGCCTGGTGGAATTTCTCAGGCAACACTCTTGCTTTCTAAATAAAATAAAGCAAAAGCATTCCAATTTGCATAACTAGTAGGCACCTTTACAATACCTGCAGCTTGGGCTAAGAGTGCTACGGTGATCTGATATACAATGGTACCTTGCAAGACGAATGCCTCGCAAGACGGAAAACTCGCAAAACGAAAGGGTTTTTGGTTTTTTTAGTTGCTTCGCAAGACAATTTTCCCTATGGGCTTGCTTCGCAAGACGGAAACATCTTGCAAGTTTGTTTCTTTTTCTTAAAACCGTTAATACAGTTGCGACTTGACTTCGAGGAGCAACTCATAGCACGCGGTGTGGTAGCCTTTTTTGAGGTTTTTGAAGACTTTGGTGATTTTTGAAGCTTTTCCAAAACTTTTCCCACACCGTGCTTTGCAAGACGAAAAAAAACGCAAAACGAAAAAACTCGCGGAACGAATTAATTTCGCCTTGCGAGGCACCACTGTATGATCCTTCCTTCCTTCCTTCCTTCCTTCCTTCCTTCCTTCCTTCCTTCCTTCCTATCTTCGTTCCTTCCTTCCTCCCTCCCTCCCTCTCTCCCTTCCTTCATAATTTTCTAGGTCTTATGTTGTCTGACTTGTGCAATGTGCATTTTGTCTTATGACTGCAGTGCAGACAATTGTGGTTTAGTACCACTGCATAGGACTCTTTGGTGTGTGGTCTTCTTAAACCAAACACCTACAGCAAGTATGAACGGGCAGAAAATGAGAAAAGTGGAGATTTTGTGGAACTGTACTGTACAATGTGCCTGAGCAGAATGAAGGATCCATTCACAAGAGAGTGTACTGTTAATTCAGCCCATCAAAACTGACCCAACCTAGAATTTCAATCGTGGTTTTGTTGCATGCCACCCCAATCACCAAGCAGTGTGAGATTCCAGGGGTTCCAAGCATTTACCCAGGCTTCATGTTTCCTGGGAATGAGGGACAGTGGAGACTGTAGTGTCTTTATGATATATGGTTTATTTACACATATATACAACCTGAGCCTACAATGGAGAAGTTCACAGCACAAATATCCCAATAAGGTCTTCCTCCCCCATAAACACAACCTTGGGTTGAAACAGAAATCAAACATTGCTCTGACTCTCTCTGGCTTCCCTGTTGGCAGCTTTTTTCCAGCTTCTAGCTCACATCACTCAACTTTCCTTTCTGGCCTTATCCCGCCTTAATAATCATCATCATCATCTATTATTTATACCCAGCCACTCTGGGCAGCTTCCAACTACCAGCTAGTTGAGGGATGGGGTCCACCCATTTTCCGTCTGGCACAGATCCACTTCCTTTCTCCCTTAATGGCCCATTACCTTGGCTATCACCTCACCAGGAAGCTAGACTGGCTTATATTTTAACACTTGCTGGATCCAGGAGTCAGAAGACCCATTGAATCAATGGAGATGAGACCATCCTGTGCATAACTTTGTCACTGGAAGTAATGGAGCCGCAGTATCTTTTAAACTGGCTGTGCTGTGCTCTTACTAAGCAGCAAATGTGCCAAGATAGCAGCAGTTGGGTGGTCCAAATTTTGTAGAGAGCTGTCCAAAGCTGCCAATCAGCTGAGCAACATATTGACACATTGGCCCGATGTCATTGGTGTGGCACTATCACAAAGCTTTCGTCTGGAATTGCATTTATTTGTGTCTAAGATCCATAGGCTGAAACAAATGTTCCAGGAGCAAGTGCATTTGTTTCTGGATACACACACACACACACACACACACACACACACAAATAACAATAATAGGCATGCCTTTAAAGAGGGAACTCATTTTGTATGATTAGAGAGTCTGCATTCACACACACACACACACACCGCTAATCTGTTTGCCTTCTTTCTAGGTGATTTCATTTCTTCTCCTCCTCAAGCATTATTCAGCCTGACGGCTGCCTTTAAATCCACACTATAGTAACCTAGCTGAAAAGAACCTGGAAAAATAAGCCAAGACAGCCAGACAAAGGGAGGTGTAGGGGAGCAGGGAGAAACCAAGATGAGAAGAAAAAGAAAGGTAAGATAATTTGGTGGGTAATTTCATCCTTTGGATCTAGCAGGGTTGTAGCTTGCATTGTTTGCCATTATATTTTTACTTTCTAGACAATTTGAGCCCAGTATTTCGTTTCGTTTCCTTCCTTCCTTCCTTCCTTCCTTCCTTCCTTCCTTCCTTCCTTCCTAGACTACTAGTTGCCACACGCTGCAGTGAGCTGTCAGTATAAACCTGAAAGACATGTCAAGGCTCATGGATTCCCTTGTGAAAGCAAACGGATGATCTCTGCATCATTTATCAAGTGCTGCAGGTTGGTCCAGGTAGGGCAAAGCCACATGGGGGTGGGGCGGGTTCCATGAATTCAGAAGGTATTAGGTTGCCCATTCCTAACTCTCTCTGAAATGTGGCTGTTCTTTTTCTTTGGGGTGGGTTGTAAGAGCAGTGCCCCCTCCCCCAGCTAAAGTCATTTCTCAAAGCTGTAGATTTTAGGTGAGTGGACAGTTACCTTCTGCATTGGTACCCCTCAGACCTGCTCAGAACTATTGCAAGCCACCTTTCATTCCATCCCTGGACCTTCTCGTGTCTCTGCTTCCAAGTCCAATCCTACACACACACACACTACCTTTAAAGTACATTTGAAGCATAGTCTTTCCCCTGAAGAATTCTGGGAACTGTAATTTACCCTCACAGAGTCAAAGTTCCCAGCAACCTTTAACAAACTACAGTGCCCAGAATTCTTCATGTGGAAAAATGTGTTCTGAATGTGCTTTAAAGGGATAGTATACACAGCCGAAGACATTTTGCTGCCTAAGGCAGAAGAGCAAAAGACGTTCTCTGCCCACCCTGGGCGAGTCACAATGCATAGTAACTAACCCTTAGAAAAATCCGCAAGGACCTCTTTTCCTCCCTGGCAATAATGTTGGACTCCAACTCCCATCATCCCCAACCGACAAGGCCAATAGTCAGAGATGATATAGTCCAACAACATCTGGAGGGCCACAGATTCCCCATCCCTGGCCCAAGGCTTTGGAGAGCCATTGCAAATCAGTGTAAACTGGAGTCACCAAATGTGTTGCTGGAGTCTAACTCCCATCAGCCCCTGCCAGTGTAGCCAAAGGTCAGGGATAATGGGAAATGCACTCCCGTGGCTACCACTCTTGTAGGCAGTGCTAGGCTACACGGACCAAGGATCTGACTTAGTAAATGGCAAGTTCATAAACATCTATTGGTCAAGCACACAGTACAGCTCTGGAAGGGTTATATAAGCATCTAGTTACACTCACCCAAAATCTGCTTCCTTTCCCCAAATTGTCTCTTTTATTTGGAAGTTGTTTCTCAAAGAGATTATAATAGATTAGGAGTCATAATATAATATTAATAATCTAAATACATGTCTTGAACTCTTCACTGAAGGTGCTGGGCTTCTGAGCGCTTGTCTAACGTTAGAACCATTTCTGGTCATAAGGAAAGGATATTGATATAGTTTGGGGTTCAGTCTTTTTGACATTAAAAACAACAAAACCCCACAGTTGAGTCATATCTAAAGAGGCATGAATTTGTATACATCATTAACAGTTCAAGGAGTTGTTCGTGCGACTGTGAAAGCAGACATTTCTCCACATCCTGATATTTGGATAAGCAAGTTACTCATTTTAGCTATATGAGGATGATGATTATTAAAACTATTCTATAGAAATATTCAAGCTAATTGGCAAGTTTCTTGGAATGTCTTGCTCTTGGGGGTATAAATAAATGAATGAGATTCTGATGCTTGGACAGATAATAATTTCTCTTTCCTTCCCCTCTCTCCCTCCCACCACCGACTTTGTTGAGCCTCAACACTCAACGTTTGGTGGGTGGGATTGAGGACATTTTTCATTTACAGTTCCTGCAATGAAACTAACATTACTTAATCTTATTTCCTGTAATGAGGCCATTAAGGTTTTTCCCCCCTGAGGTACTTTTATCTCAGCATTATCTCAACACTGATCTACAGGGGCAGACTTGGATAATATGGTGCCCTGAGCTGGGGCAGAATTTTGTGGGCCCCCCCCAATATTTCTTATTTGCACAAAAAATCATTTTGGTACAGTTGCTTTTTAATAATAGTAATAATAATAATAATTTTTATTTATACCCCACCCTTCGCGGCCAAGACCATGCTCAGTGCGGCTAACACCGAATATAAATACAGTAAAAACATTTAAAAAAACAACAACCAAACAAATAGTTGATTAAAATATAAATATAAAATATAATTTTTAATGGATTTTATCAGTACAGTGGTACCTCGGGTTACATACGCTTCAGGTTACATATGCTTCAGGTTACAGACTCCGCTAACCCAGAAATATAACCTCAGGTTAAGAACTTTGCTTCAGGATGAGAACAGAAATCGTGCTCTGGCAGCGCAGCAGCAGCAGGAGGCCCCATTAGCTAAAGTGGTGCTTCAGGTTAAGAACAGTTTCAGGTTAAGAACGGACCTCCGGAACGAATGAAGTACTTAACCCGAGGTACCACTGTGGTATAAATACAGTATAGGGATGATGATGATGATGCCCCCCCTCAGCTTGGCACCCTGTGTGGGGGAAATGCCCACACAGCTGTAATTGCCGATCAATATTGTTAAACGGATTGACAGTGTCTTTCAAGAGTTTCCTGTAGGGTCCACTTCCAGCCCAACTGGAAAATGCTGGACATTGAGCCCAAGATCTTTACTCAGCAGATGCTCTACCATTCAGCTACAGTGGAGTGGGAGAGAAGGATATGTCAGTATTCTGGTAGGGGCAGGTGCTGTTATGCCAAAGCCCCTTTGTTTCCTCAACATGCTCACAGAAATGATACATAATTTGGGAAATGGGGGGAACTGTCCTCTTCTCCTCCTACCATGCCCACAGCAAAATGGCAGGGCAATGGGTATGGTGGAAACTCTGCCAGCAGAGTTTTCCCGTTTCCACCATAAATATGCAGTCAGATTGCTCAGTAGGCTTGCAACCCTATGCACATTTACCTGGAAGCAAGTACCTGGAAGCAAGTGGGTCTTGGTTCTGGGTAGACATGTCATGTTCACATCACCTGAAAGCCAGGTAGCCCTAGAAAATTCATTTTGTTACTGGATTAGTTTGCACTATGAATTTTAAGACGGCGGGGGGAGAACATCCCACCATCAAAAGGCACCTTCTAACAACCCCCGACTGATCTGTCTTCCCTATGTTTGTATTTTTAGAGTTGCATCTATTTATTTTGCTGACTAAAAATAATGGCCTCTCCTACTTTTCTAAGCGTTGCAAAGCCAATAAAGTCCTTGGAGACTCAGCTAGATTGCGTTCCGCTTTTGTATGCCCTCTACGGGATTATTAATTAGCAGGGAATCAAAGAGTCGTTATTGCTGAAGACGAACGGGCCAGAAAGAACTCAGTGTCTCTTTTGGATCTCCTGCTTCAACTAGCAAGCTGGGACTTGTGGAATTGATGTTCTTACCAAAGGATAGAGCACGTTCAATCTGGAGACACTGAGAGATAACAGCACAGTATCTCAGAACATCTTTTTTTAACAACCGCATTCTGGAATTGCACATCCATGTTGTGTGTTCAAAATGTAGAGTCTATGGCTATGTAACCTTCAGCTCTGATAGTGTAACACTATGCTTTTTTAAAAAATAATTTCTTTTAGTGGTGGTTGCCCATAGATAAAGCTGTGTACAGGAGCTCCGTGTTCCTGAGAAATTTCAAGGAGGTCCTTGAGATACAATTTTAGAATCCACTCTAGAAAAGAGCAAAGTCAGTCGTGAAAATTTCCATGGACAAACTGGAGTGGTAGTAAAATATTGATAGCATATTTTAAATTATACCTAAATATAAATTTCAGTTTGCTCAGTTCTCAATCTGCTGCCTGGTTTCCAGCTTGCAGAATTCCTAAATTGGTTGTTGGTCAAATCTGGGGTTTGTTATTTCTTGATGGAATACATGGCTTAATTAATTTTTTAACACGTACATTTGAGATGAAGGTGCCTTCCTATTTCCTAAGAACAGAGATTTGAACATATTTCTCCAGGAGGCTCCTTTGGGGAGATATTGGTGTCTTCCACTGTCTTGCCCACAGATGAAAACTCCTTGGCTCCTCGTGCTGCGCTATGGTCCTCACCCTCTGCTGGCAGCTTGGCAAGCCACTGTGATTGATTGATTTGATAACTGGAAGTTGCCAAGTCAAACGAAGCATATTCAAAGGCAGAAATTCACTATGTACACACAGCAAGTGCTGGGACATCCTTTGGGGGGAGCGCAGGCTACGCGACCTTCTCCCAGTGCCATGCACTCTTTCTTCCCTTGTTCCAGCCACTGTCATGTTCAGGTATGCAATGGCTTGTGATACCCATGCTAAGTTCTGATTTGGCAATTTTGCGGAGCCAAGACAAAGGCTTATGTAGTAGTTGCTAGGCAACAGGAAGGGACCTTCAGGAGCTGATTGGTTGGTTCCCTCTTCTGGAGGACAAATGCCCCATTTGCTTTCTAAGTGAGTTGGCCTTGGGCTGACGCATAGCGATATGAGATATGAGCTAAGTATTTAGCAGCTTGGGGGAGAAGGAAGGAAGGAAGGAGGGAAGGAAGGAAGGAAGGAAGGAATGGGACCATTAGCTAGGTGTTCTTTCAAAATGCCACCACATCTCATCTGGTCTCAGCAAAGTATGGAAATTCTATAAAAGTAGTTTAACGATAAGTGCTTGCTAAGTGGCTTCCAAACTAATCATATATCTCCTCGAGGTTTTTTTCTTTTTATTATTTCTCTGCAGTTCATTCCATTAGTAGATTACATGTTTGCTTATTCTGGGCTAGGAAATTTGATCTTTGCAAGAAAAAT